GCTGAGGGACTTGCCACTGGTTGTAATAGCCCTGGCGATTTCCCTTGCAACCTCTTTGCTGATGCACAGGTTGGGCAGCTGGCAACATAACTTTCTATGTCCTTTTTTATTGATGGCCACCAAAATTGCCGTTTAATTAAGTTGTAAAGTTTTTACAAATCCAAAATGCCCTGCTGATTTTGTGTCATGGCAAAGGTTGCATGAAAGTTAGTCTTTGAGTTGTTGGTATATATAACTTTTCCCCTACCCAAGGCAATCCGTCTCTCATTGTGCACACATGTTTGTTTTTCTGGAACCATCATCTGTTTCCAAACTTTTTCTGAATTCAATCCCAGTTTGGCTGTCCAGTTGTGGTTTTATTTTGGCTTGGGTTCTTGTGGTTACTGGCGCGCAGTTGTGACTCTGCCATTATTGGTCTAGAGTCTGTGGTCGTGCGCTGTTATATTGGGGCATGCGAGATAGTGCATCTGCCAGGAAGTTCTTTCTTCCTGGTAAATGTTTGAGCTTAAATTGGAATTGATGAAAATGCTGGGACCAGCGGGCTGGTTTGGGATTGAGTTTCCTGGAAGTTTTCAGGGCTTCTAAATTTTTGTGATCAGTCCATACCTGGAAGGGGATTTTGTTGCCTTCCAGGAACTGTCGCCACGTGAGTAATGCCCAACGTATCCCATAAGCCTCCTTCTCCCATACGGGCCAGCGCTGTTCTGTTTCCGTGAGTTTCTTGGATGTATATGCACAGGGTTGCAATACTGCATCATCATTTTCTTGTAATAGCACAGCCCCCACTGCCACATCACTTGCATCTGCCTGTATTATGAAGGGCTTGTCCATGTCTGGGTGCCTTAGTACTGGTTCGGCAGAAAAAAGTCTCTTTAGTCTCTCAAACGCTGCTTGGCACTCCATTGTCCATGTTAGTGGCTGGCTAGGTTTTACTGAGGATGTTCCCTTCGTTTTTAGTAAGTTAGTGAGGGGCAAGGCTATCTGTGCAAATGAGGGGATGAATTGGTGGTAAAAATTTGCGAAGCCCAGGAAACTTTGTAGTTGCTTTCTTGTGCGGGGTGGTGCCCAATTTAGTACTGCTTTGACCTTCTCCGGGTCCATTTCAATGCCCTGTGGGGATATGCGATAGCCTAGGTAGTCTATCCTTTCCTGGTGGAATTCGCATTTTGAGAGTTTGGCATATAGGTGAGCGGCTCGCAGCTTCTTTAAAACCGCTCTGACAAGTTTGACGTGTTCTTCTTTTGTTTCAGTAAAGATAAGAATGTCGTCCAAGTAAACAAGGACCCCCTTAAATAGGTGCTCCCTTAGAACGTCATTGATTAATTGCAGAAAGACTGCAGGGCCCCCTTGTAATCCAAATGGCAAGACTTTGAATTGATAGCACCCCATGGGGCAGTTAAATGCAGTCTTCCATTCGTCCCCTTCCTTGATTCTCACGCGATAGTAAGCTTCCCTTAGGTCTATTTTAGAAAATATTTTCCCTTTCGATAGGTGTGACAGCATGTCTTTCATGAGGGGCAGCGGGTATAGGTTGCTTTCACTGATTGTATTCAGGGCCCTATAATCCACGCATAAACGTAAAGAGCCATCCTTCTTCTCTCTAAAAAGGACCGGGGCAGCCACTTTAGGCTTGGCTGGCTCAATGAAACCTCTCTCCAGGTTTTTTTTTATAAATCTTTCCATTTCCTCCTTCTCCTTTGGGCTCATGGAGTATAATCTGGGCTTCGGGAGTTTTGCCCCAGGCTTGAATTCAATGGTACAGTCTGTGGGTCGGTGGGGGGGAAGCTCATTCGCCCTCTCCTCACTGAAGACTTCAGCAAGGTCCTATATTCCTCTGGTATTTCTGTTAATCTTTTTTCCTCTCCTATGGATGCTTTTTCTATTCTTGATTCTGGTAGCCTCCCTTGGGGTTTTAAGTCCATAGGGTCCCCCTTCGGGAATTTGATTTCTGTCGTCCTCCAATTTACCCAGGGGTTCCATTTTTTCAACCATTCCATCCCTAGAATCATTGGGCATTCCATACCTGGGGTCACCACAAACGTTAAGTCCTCTTCATGGTTGCCCAGGGAGAGGTGTATTGGCAGAGTGGCTAGGGTAGCTGGCACCCCCCCTGCTATGGATCCATCTAGCTGGCCAAATGAGATTGGTTGTTCCAGTCTCCTGGATGGGATGCCCAGATTCCCCACTAGTGTTGGGCTAATGAGGCAGCGGGTGCAGCCAGAGTCTATTAAGGCTTTCACCTTCACAGCTTCGGGCATGGGGGGGATTAATATAGTCACTGTTTTGAAGATGGGTGTGATGCATCCACTTACCAGGGGTTCGCCCTCCGAGCTGTCATCTGAGGCATCCACCGTCCCTGTGGTGTAGGCTGGAGTTCTTTCCCCTTGGTGAGCAGAGGTGGGGGTTTCTGCAATTTCCATCATTCTCATGGCTGTTTCTTTTGGCTTAGCTGAATACTCTCTGGGTTTGTTGATTGGGGATCTGTCTGGGTTGTGCTGGGGGGCCTTTGAGCGGCATTCTACAGCTCGATGCCCTTCTCTTCCGCACTTGAAACACCCCATTTGCTTCTTGGCTGTATCCGATGATTTCACCGGTTGGTGTGTCAGCTCAGGCGGGGGGCGGCTCCATTGTTTTCTTCGGCGGTGCCTCTTCAATATGTCGATCTCTGCTTCCTCTGCCAAGACGTACCATTCCTCAAGTCGATGTGGGTCCCCTCGGGGCAGGCAAGCATCATATAGATCATAGTTTAGTCCGTCTTTGAAATGGCCAAGGAGGATGTCTTCTGGCCAATTCAGTTTGCTGGCAATGGCCCGGAATTCTTGTGTATACTCGGCCACTGGGCGTTTGCCTTGCCTCATCGTTGTTATTCTTTCACGGGCTTTGCGATCAGCCAGGGGGTCTTCAAATCGTCTTCTCAAAGAGGACATGAAACAGTTGAAGTTACTGAGTTCTGGGGCATTGGAGTCATGCAAGTTCACTACCCAATCCGCAGCTGGTCCATCCAGGGCAGATTGCACGATCCGGATGCGGGCTTTGTCGCTGGGAATGTCCTGCCCATATTCCTCCATGTAGCTGAGTACTTGGGTTAGGAAAAACCCCAAGTGTGTTGGCTCCCCTTTGAATTTCACCTCCAATGGTGGACGTCTTGGAATGGATCAGTGCCTCCATTGTGGGTGGTAGTGTCTTCCGTCCAGATTGCCATCTGTGGTCCGGTAGGGGGTGGGGGCTCCTGGATCAGTAGATGTCCCTGGGGTTGCAGGTTCCACGTCCCCCTCGGTGTCTCTCCCTTTGTGGCTCCAGGAACTGGGGCGGCCGTAGGGCTCAGTATTCTCCTCTCCTAGGGAGCTGAGAGTTCTCTTCATCAGGTCAATAGCTTTCTCTAGGATCCAGTCTGAGTACGGTACCCAGCTTCCTCCCTCTTCACTTGCGTGCAGGGATTTCTCCATCTCCTGCTTCCATTCTGGTTGTTTGGTCCCCCGTCTCAGGGTCACCTTTCTTGATTCCTTTCTCCACTCACTTTTCTTTCCAACGTTCATCGACCAGCGAGGCTTGTGGTCCTGTGTCTCCACCACTTCTTCTCCCGAGGAATCTGACCTCTCAGATCCCAACATCTGGCAAGGTTCCAACTGGGTCAGCGGCTCTCTTTCCAGGGAGTTTTCCCCCTCTCTTTCTCCATTGTCTGACATGGTAAATTTTTTGCAAAATCCCCCGGCAAGGGTCTCCCTTCCAGGTGGATTAATTTTGCAAGTCCTGTCTAATGTAAGGACCCACCCCACTTTGCATCTTAAGAAGACAGAACTCTTGGAATAATTCTTCCAACAGGAATCCTTTATTAAGAGAAAATGGTTGCAGGCATGCTAGACAGGACTTGGGGTTCAAGCTCTCCCATTCAAGGTTTTAAGGGGTTCCCCAGTAGTCCCACCCAATCAACCCCCCTTCCAGTGATAGTTTCAAGTATCACAATTCCACCCCCTTTCTTCTTTCTTCCGTCTGGATGGAGACTTCAGGTAACTACATGAAAGGCAAATACCCTGCTTTGTTATGATAAGGTCCTCTAGTGCTAACGCTTTGATGTTACAATAAATACACATTCAGCATTCAGCTCTTTGAAGTGTACTGAAGGAAGTGAGGGCCATAAAGCCCCTTTGTTCTCCCCCTTCTCTCCCTCTGATGGCAGAATCCATAGAAGGCAGAATTGGGAGTTTCTATATTTGATAATTAAAGATGAAATATAATTGGATTCTGACAGGCCTGCAATCTACAGATATATTGGGAATGCAGATGTAGATCCTATCAACTGATAGCCGAGCCAAAGTGAGATTATGAAATGGTGGGTAAAGTAAAAACAAAATGTACAGAGAATAATAAGCTAAAAAGAGTTTTGTAGCTTAGCTAGAAATGTTTTCACAAGTATCGCTGAATTCTTCCACTCCCTCATACCATTACTAAATTAATTTAATATCTGTGTAGTCCATCTAGTGATGTTCCCTAATAAGCATTGTTCTGGTTTTGCAGGACTATATTAATAATCAATCAATTATTGGATTGCAGAAATAGATAAGCCATTGTCCTACATTATATCTGTTTCCTAGACCTGGCCCCCAACCTTTTGGGCACCAGGGACCAGTTCGTGGAGAAAGACTTTTCCACAGACAGGAGGGGACATGTTTCGCATGCTGCCTGCATCCCATGGATGGGGCTTTGCACAGCCCAGTTGCTGGCATGCCATGGACTAGTGCTGGTCCATGGACCAGAGGTTGGGGACCCTTGTCTTAGATCATATAATCCAACTATGTTTTCCTCATTATTTCCAACTTTGGCCTTCCAATGTCCAACTACAAGCAACACAATATTGTTCTTTCAATTTCAGACTGAACTTCACTATAAAATTGATCAACCTCTTCTTTTGTGTCCGTGGTTGAAGTATAAACCAGGATAATCATGATATTAAAAAGTTATCTATGAAATCTAATTGATATTATTCGTTGCATTGTACTCACATGTTGTCCTTGTTGCGTTCTTCTTGAAAGCAATGCTATTTCTTGTTTTTTTGTATTCTAGGTAATAAACAAAATGATCATCTGATTGAAAATGTCCAATTCCAATTTTTTTAATTCACTAATGCCTAATTTGTTATCTATTTATTTCATATTTTACATGCTTAATTTTCCCTTGTTCAACCTTCTTATGTTCCATGTTCCTCCATTAATTCTGTTTTAGTTTCATATTTTCTTTTTAGCATGGCAACATCAGCAACTACAAATCCTGGAGACTTTAATCAAAACACACCATTATTACTCTGAAAGATATTCAGCTATTCCTCATTAGCATGTTGAGTGCAATCTGACCTGGTTGACCTATCATTCCGCACTATATCATCAATCACTTTATATTGTCCACCTGTGTGGTTTTCCTACTAAAATACAGGAGTGGTTTACCACTTGCTTTTCCTGCACAGAATAAAACTATATCTTTGCCTGCATCAAGGGTGTCAAACTGCCAGCTCGTGAGCTGGTGCATCATGCAGAGGCCATGCCCACCCAGCTCCGGCAATGTGAAAAAAGTTGTGATAGAGTTTGACACCTGTGGCCTACATGATCATATTTTTCCAATGCCTTGCTATATCACTGTTGTCTGGCATTCGTCACTCATCCTTCCCAGGAATGCACAACACAAACACATACACACACACACACACACACACACCTGCCATGATAAGGCAGCATTGTTGACTCCTTCAAATAATAAAATGGCTTATTACATTTTATATAAGGCTAGACTTACCACCTTAAGGATGATATGCACGCAAGCTCTGCTCCTTTAATAATTCTAAATTATGACCATTGTACATTAATGTAGAATATTTTTCCATTCCAACAGAAAAAAACTTATAAGCATATTCATGCCAGGCTTCATTTTAATGTGCCAATTACCTTCTAGCATTCATATCTCTATCCCTTCACAGAGTCACACTGAACATCTACAGTGCAATATGAATAATACTGTATTCTGAAGCATCATTATAAAAGATGTTTCTCACATTGAAGATGTTCACAGATATGCACCAACATTTTTCTCTATTTCTTTGGACCTCTGATTTTCTAACACCATATTTTCCATTGTTCATGTTAGCTGGCCATCTAATTACTTTATATTTCCCAGCCCATGTTCAGGTCTAAGGTGCTATAGTCAAGGCCAGCCACCTGAACAAAGGAGAAAGGGAGGGAATTGATGAAGTGGCTTGTTCTAAAAATGTCTATTGCAGTCAATGATCAAGTATAAGAAGAAAATATATCTAATTAGAATTGTGAATAACATTCTCAGTAAGATCCTCAATGCAGATCAAAGCCTGGGTAAATGCGGCATACTAGACAGCTTTAAGGGGGCACCTGCTTTTTTTCAAAATAGTGATTTTAAAATGGTTTCCAGGTAGAAGAAGGGACCTGAGCTTACTCTCCTGTGTATTATTTTCCTTTAATATATTCCTCATCTAAGAATTTTTATTTCTGTCTGTCTCATTCATAAAGCATGCTATATTTCACCTCTTCTGTATGTTCTTTGCTTCTTAATATTACAATCGCCATCCACAGCCTATTGTGGCAAAATATATTACTTAAGCCTAAATAATTTGTCTGAAAGAAGGTCAAGATTGGAAATACATAGGAATATATTTCTTTGTTAGAGTTCTATCCTAGTGTCATCAAGTGTCATCTAATTTTTCCCACAATCATCATTCATGATATATGCTGAATCAAAAAAAATAATTGGTCCAAAGTCCAGTGAGTTTCTAGGCTCAGGTTGAATGTAGAAAAAAGAACCCCACCTGATTTAAACAAACAAACAAAAGACAGTAGAAAAAATAATTTTCAAATCTTCAAGTCTATAAATGCAAAAGTCTCTTAAAGTAAGGGACAATAAACTCTTGTGGTCATTTTTAGTATTTATTTCTTCATCCCAAATGCACCTGCAGCAAAAGAACCACTCAAGGAAAGAATTATGGCTCTGAGAGAAAGCATTGAACAGTTATATAACTTAATTAAACCTACATAAACATTAAAACTGATGAACAGGCAGTCTGCCCAAGTTTCATCATTAATCAAGTCTTGGACAAGGGAATAAGATTCATGACTTGTCATCTAAAGCAATCAAGACATACATATTTTGCCTATACAGTTATGTATATCTTCCAGGCACCATTAGGACACTTCAAGTTGGATTCTAAAAGGTGCCTTCTCAGGTGTCTCCAGCAGCTGATGCCAATGACCAGAAAAGATGTAGTTGCTTTAAAGAGTGCAACCAGTTTCATCACACTCATACCCTTGAAAGTGCATTGTTAGAATAGGTGCTTTCACCTTTCTGAAACACTATATAACCTTAGTCACTATTCTTTCAGCCAAATTTTCCTCCCCTAACAACTAGTATGTATATTAGTCATTGACAATTCCTCAAAGCTTCCAATTACTGTCTTAGCATGAATTTAGCTCTATTATTTATTTTTCAGAAAGACTTCTGCTCATTATTCCAAGCCCCTAAAACAGTGGTTCTCAACCTTTTTAATGCCGCGACCCCCAACTGGTCGTAAGTCAAGGACTACTCAACTGGTCGTAAGTTGAGGACTACTCAACTGGTGCAGCACCGTTTGCAGAATGGGACTTTTGGCGGGCTCAGCAGGGCAGACACAGCCTGGACAATTCCTATTGGCTTTTGAAAGCCAATAGCATTAGATTCTATTCAAGAGAGTCTATTCTATTGGCTTTCAAAAGCCAATAGAATAAAAGGGAGTAGCACAGCTAAGGAAAAGGAGGGGAAAAAATGGCAGACTGCGTTGTTTGGCGACCCCCGTGAAATGGTCATTCGACCCCAAATGGGGTCCCGACCCACAGGTTGAGAACCACTGCCCTAAAACATATAGATCTCTATGAAATTCTCATCTTTCCTTCAAAATTAGTCTTAGTAGCCGTTTTGCTCTTTCATGGTATATTTGAGTTGCTTTTTTGGTTCATTATTTCCTGGGTGGAATTGTTAGATTTCTGTGTAATCTGTGAACCACAATAAAAAAAACTATGAAGAATTTTTATCACATTTTTGTGCTAGCTAGACAAAAGTCGGATTTCAACTATACAAAAATCAGATTTCAACTATATGTTTTCTTCAATGCAATAAATATAAAGAGCATTAAAAAGAATGCATACATTATTCTTTTCTCCCAATGTATAAAGTCTTTGATGGGTTTTTTTCCAAATAAGCAGCTATAGCAAAAATAAGCAGCTGGGGGGAAAAAACCAGCTACTTAAATCCTTTTTGGAATAGGCTGGAATAGCGGTTCTCAACCTGTGGGTCGCGATCCCATTTGGGGTCGAACGACCATTTCACAGGGGTCGCCAAACAATGCAGTCCGCCATTTTTTTCCCCTTTTCCTTAGCTGTGCTACTCCCTTTTATTCTATTGGCTTTTGAAAGCCAATAGAATAGACTCTCTTGAACAGAGTCTAATTCTATTGGCTTTCAAAAGCCAATAGGAATTGTCCAGGCTGTCTCTGTCCTGCTGAGCCCACCAAAAGTCCCATTCTGCAAACAGTGCTGCAAGTTGTCTGCAGCGAAGGCGAGCTATCTGGAAGTTTCCATCCCTCCCTGCTGAGCAACTACTCAAAATGTAAGTAAAAGAGAGCCAGGGGTGGGAGGTGGGAGGCTGGCGGGCGCAGGGAGGGTTGCTGGCGTGCATGGGACCCGGCGGGTGCCTTACCTCTCTTGGGCTGGGCCAGCTGGTGGCCCAGCCGGTGGTCGGCCTGCTCCATCTCTGCCGCTTGCCAGCTATGCCTCGGCCGGCGCAGGGGGCGACACCACGCATGTGCAGCGCTCCCGGGCAGGGAAAGTACTCGACTTATGACCGGTTGGGTAGTCCTCAACTTACGACCAGTTGGGTAGTCCTCAACTTACGACCGATTGGGGGTCGCGGCATTAAAAAGATTGAGAACCACTGGGCTGGAACATGTTTTGGAGCAATGTTCCTCAAACTTCCTTAACTTTAAAATGTTTGGACTTCAATTCCATGAATTCCCCAGCCAGCCATTCACTTTATAACCATGTGCTTCACATAACAACTATAGTGATTGCTTAATGACCACCATAGTTATCTATCTTCTAGTCTAGAGTTGCATAATTTTTCTCAGTTTAAGGACCACATAAGCTTTACATGGCATACTGAATGCCACATTCATATGTGAGTGGAGCTATTTTCCCTCATTTTGTACATTTTTGTATCTCTCTTTTTCTTATGTTTTATTTTATTCAGCGATTGGATGATACAAAGTGCTGCTTCCCAAACATCAGCATATTTTTTCTTTCATCAACAAAGTGTGCAATAACGAAGATATGTTTTTTCCAGTATTACAGTTCCTTCTACTGATAAAGAAAGCAATTTCAGTTTTTTCTCTTTTAGATTATATGGAAAAAGAAAATATTGATGGACAAGGTGATGATGATGATAATAATGATAGTCTGAGATAGTTTTAAGGCGCAAAATACCTACTAAAATGGGAAATACCAGTTTGACGTTTTGAGATATCAGGATTTTTTTAAAAGTGTGATTGAACACATTTATTATTTTTAAATTTAAGGTTTAAATTTAAATTGCTTAAATTTAACTTTAAATTTAAATAATTAAAATTAATGGCAATAGCACTTAGACTTATACACATCTCCAAGTGCTTTACAGCATTCTCTAAGCAGTTTGCAATCTTAGTGTATTGCCTCCAACAATCTGGGTTCTCATTTTACTAATCTCGTAAGGATGGAAGGCTGAGTCAACCTTGAGCCAGTGAGAATTGAATTCCTGGGCTGTGGGCAGTTAGCCTGCAATACTGCATTCTAACCACCGCACCATTACAGCTCAAATATTATTTATTTATTATTTGTATAAAGGAACACATTTTACCTCTTAAAAAACTTTCAACTACTCCTTCCCTCAAAAGCAAAGTTTCTTAGTGGGGGGGGGGAACGCTCTGTAGAATGCAAAACGTGGTGCTCATAGGTCATAAGTAGCCTATGGGTAGGACTTTTGCACCCCAAGCTCTACTGTACTAGTTGTTGGTTATCCATTCAGGAAGAAGCAGAAAGCTTCCGGTTGCTCTGACACTCTTAACTATTATGTTGTCCAGAAATAGTCAATGAATGGCATATCCAATGTCATTTTAATGCATATTTATGAAGATTATAAGCAGTATAAAGTCTCAGCAGTAACTTGGGATTCTGAAGCCTCAAGAATTAAATACAAAAACATATTTTCCAATAATATCTAAACAATTGCAGTTGTTTAGATTTAAACAACTTCTAAACCTTTCAAAGTCTTCACTTGATTATGCTTATTGGTTCAAAAACCACTCATATGAACATTTTTTTTCTCACTGAGAGAAAAAACAATGGAAATAGGAAGTTCACAATTTACCTTCCCTTAATATATGAAACTGTACTTAGTAGCTATTTCTCTAGAATGTCTCTATAATAGTAAGGGAGACAATTCTTTGGAAATCGTGGTATCATTGAGAGAGAGCATAAGCACAGTACTAGAGCAATCCCAATAATAACTAATGAAGTAATTCACTTTTGCAATATACTTTGAAATGAATATTTCCTCATTCTGACAACACATGCAACCCACATCAATTGTCAGTCCTTTAAACTCTGGAACACAATTCTTTCCTTCCATTCTAATTATCAAAAGAATGAAACAACGGCTCCTTCGACTTATCTTCCATAGCTTGACAGGGCAAAGTATCCAATGGAAACTATGATGACATTGTGTGTGCCATAATGTTATTGTGTAAATGATACAAATTATTTCATTCGTGAGAAGATGTAATGACACACATGTTGTTACTTCTTCCTTTATATCCCCCTGCTTGCCCAAGCTGGCAACTAATAGGATCCTTTCTTTTTAATATTTCCTCATAGAACCACATAGACCAGTGGTCCTCAAACTTTTCTTCACCACGGACGCCCTTTAAATACCTTTTGTGGACCCTGGCTCTGGACCCCCAAATCTTAACTCATAACATTTCTTCAAGCCTTTGCAGACCTCCTGTGACAACATCATGCCCTCCCAGGCATCTGTGAACCACAGGTTAAGAACCACTGACATAGACAATGGGCCCATACAAGGTTTGAGTTATTTGCAGCCTGAAGTTGACATATACTCCAGATGGTTTTTCTGATTCTTTGCAGCAAGCCAACAGAAAAAAATTAATCAAATGGGAATTTTGATGGTAGCAGACATAAATATGCATAAATCCTTTCATAAGTGACAGCTCAACTGTATTTTTTCAAATGTCAAACAGATGAAACAACAGACAAGTATGTCCAGGATGGTATCTTCAGGCAAAGGAGGTGGATGAAAAGAACTTCAAAGCAAACAAAGGGTATATTGTGTACACTGTGAAAGGGGTATGAGTCAATGGGAGAATAAGAGTTGGGGGGGAGTACAGAGAAAGTCAAATCATACAGTAAAGAAGGAATGTACAGATTAATGGGCGAAAGGGCATAATAATTAATGACTGAAAAACAAGAAAATGGATGACTATTTACCAGGTATTACATCCTTGTAGTGATATTATAGATTATACCTGCCTCACAGAAATGGAAGCAGAGGTTTACTTCAAGTCAAATAAACTGTCAAAGAAGAAAAGCAAGCATTAGGTAATTATGTAAAAGACAGCCAAGAACAAGCATTGATGCAAATTAAAATCTGGAACTTAATGTACAGGAAATAAAACATGAATATTGAAATAATATAGTAAAAACAGGAAGAGAACGTTGGCAAGGATTACATGGTCAATTTCTACAAAAGATCAAGGTGAAAGTGGATAAAGATAAAACCTGACAATGGCTTACAACTGGAACATTAAACAAAGAAACCAAAGAATTTGGCTGCTCAGGAGCAAGCTAGTCAAACTAATACAACCAAAGACAAAACTAAAAAAAAATCATCAAATGATTAAAAATGCAAACTGTACAAAGAGGCAGAAGAAATGGTAGATCATATACTCAACTCATGCAAGTAGATTGAACCAATGGCTATAAACATAAAAGTCACCAAAATGATTCACTGAAACATTTGTAAAAATTATAATGTGCCAGTAATGAGAAACTGGTGGGAATATATAGTTGAAAAAGTAGTTGAAAATGAGAAGATTCAAATATTGCTGGATTTCTTGATACAAATTGATAAAGTCTTGGTGCATAAACATCAGATTAAACTGGTTGAAAAGAAGAAAGTGTTGATATTTGATGTGGCAATACTAGGGGATATCAGAATAGAAGTCAAAGAATTGGAGAAGATCACAGAGTTACCCTGTGATAAGATGAGCATTAAATAAATAAATAAATAAATAATCACAATGTATCAAGATCTGAAAACCAAATGTGAAAGATTATGACAGTGATCCCAGTGATTAATGGCACACTGGGTGCCATGCCAAAAAGCCTTTGGCAATACTTATAACATCTGCACATTGACAAAATTTCCATCTGTCAATTACAGAAGGCCACATTGCTTGGATTTGTACATATAGTAGCTGATATATTGCAATATCCTAGGTTCTTGGAAAAATTCAATGTGAACGGAGACTAACACCAGCTAAAGAACTGGCAGCTATGACTTCACACTGTTTTCTATATAATAATACTTACCAAGGAACATAGGTGGTCATGAAATGTTACAAGTACATCAGATAGCTGAAGAAGAAACAAGGGCATTGGAAGAATATCTGAAGGACAGTGAAAAAGATGCAATGAAATTAGTACACCAAGAACGTTAACTGAATACGAATGAGACCAAACTTGCCTACAAGAAAAACAAACAAAGAACAGAAATGAGACAAAGCAAGGCAAAGTAGTACATGGCAAATACTTAAAAAAAAAGCAGGCAAAGCAAAAGACCAGAAGACCTGGCAAGGAAAGTTGAAAAAATAGACAGAGGGACCAATTCTGGTTGCACAAAACCAAGCCTTAAGAACAAATGCATACAAAGCCAGTATTGAGATGACAGTAACAAATGCTGCCTCTGCAAAATAGCTGAAAAAAACAGCATCTACTTAGCTGCTGCAAAAGATTCACACAGATTGACTACAAGCAATGGCATGACAAAGTGGCAACAATGGGGCATTGGATGAACTGCAAGAAATACTGCTTACCTGCAAGGAAGAACTGGTGAGATCACAAAATAAACAAAGTAATAGAAAATAAAATAGCTAAAGTGTTCTAGAACTTTAATATTCAAACAGGCAAGCACCTGTTACGTAACAGCCCAGACTTAACAACCGTCAACAAGAAAGAGAAAAAAAAGTCTGAATAGTGGGCGTGACAGTACATGGAGACAGCAGAAGTGAAAGAACTGAAGAAAAATCACAAAATACATAGATCTGCAAACAGAAGTAGGAAGACTACAGGAAAAGAAACCAAAGATAATAACAATAGTGTTAAGTACTTTGGGCGTAATCCGAAAACAACTGGAACATGCTTGAACACCACTAGCATTGATAATATCACCATCAGTCAATTGCAAAGGACAACTTTACTTGGAATAACATATGCTGTAAAGATACCCTTAACAGCACCAAAAAACATCTCTCTATCCCTATATTTGGGAAGGGCTTGATAGGTGGGTAAAAATGCCAAATCCATTCTAACTATCTGGCTGACTGTGCAATAAATAATGATAATAATAATTTATTAAATTTGTATTCTGCTTGACTCAGTGACTGCGAACAGCTCACAACTATCAAAAATAGTACTATAACAATCAATAACCATAAAAAATAAATATAAAGCTAGAGAATCATCCCTACCACTGCTGCTTCAGGCATTCCTAAAATGCCTGAGCACATTGTTAGTAATGTGCTTTATTATTATCAATTGTATAGAACTGCACTTCGCAGATTTTCTGCCTAAACTGCCCAAATAACTTGACTAATCTGAGCTATTAATGTCTATGCACTGGGGAAAAGGCATTTGCCACTCCGGGAAACTGAAGTCATGAAGAACATGCATAAAAGAGAGAGGGTGGGATATACAAAAGACACTTAAATAAACAATAATGCTAAAAGTTAAGGAAGACTTATGTGTCTCTTCGCCAAAGGAAGCTTACAGTACTATTTCTATTTCTTGCGGGGTGAATCTTCTTTGTCTGGAGACACCAAGAGAGTCATAAAAGTGCGAACATTAGAAGCTGTACCGCCTTTCGTATGACAGGAACTCCGTATGACAGGAGAACTGAATTTGATGGTACAAATATTTCTAGTTCCCTTCTGTACTGTTTTTAACAGGGCAGGACTATGAGACCGTGCTCCCGAATTGATTCGAGTGGAAAGAGAAAGAAGAAGCGGCAGGAAAAGAATATGTGTCAGAGAGAAAAAAGGAGGCGTGTGCACGCATATGCAATTCTTTAAGTAAAGCACGCTGGCGCACAATTGGTACGGAAGAAAAGGACGACCAGCAGCATGGTAGAGGGACTCAGTTGCAGTGAAATGAGTGCACCTTTAGAAGACCACGTGAAGGTCCGACCGTCTGGGAGAAAATTTTATCTATCTGATCGCTAATAGCCGACCACGATTTGAATCATTCTCCAATAGGTAAACACTCCCGTACCGCTCGCTTCCAACAGGAATGCAATTTTAATTAAAGCAAACTCGAAGTAACTTGGTATGACCCAGCGCGCACCTGCCCGGTCAGCCGCTCCCGCCAAAAAGACCCGAGTGCTGCCGCCTCGGTCCAAGCCCAGAAAGCTGGAGGCTTGGAGGGGCTCTTACCTCGAACAGGGGCCCGATCTTGTTCCTTTCCAGGTAGGCTTGAATTCTGTTTTGCTGGCGAGACGCCATCAGCTTGCCGGAGATCGAGGCAGGTGTTCGCGTGCTGCTTCTCCGGCGATTCCGGCTATCCTTTTCCCAGCGCTCCAGCAGAACGAGCAGGTTGGGAACAGCAGGGCAGGGCGGGGACTGTGGTAGGGAAAAGCCTGAGGTCCGACGAGCGGCACCGGTCCTGAACTACCTGGACGCCCTGTCCCCTATTAGAGCCGAGCTCGAACCATGGGGCAAGAAAACCCCGCCATCTCTCCCTCCTCCGTGAAGGTTGAAGCCGGAACGCGCGGGCTGGCGCGCAGCGAAGAGGACGCGGCGGGAAGAGCCGCGCGTCGCCTATGCAGGCGCCCGTTCCTTGGTTACAGGGAGCGCAGCCCCGGCTCCGCTTGAAACCACCTCGCCAAGCTGCCGCCCTAGCGACAGCGCCTCTCGCAAAGCCAATAGCAACGGCGCTGCTCTTCCCAAACGGAGCCAGGCGGGGAAAACCGCCTCTCTCTCGGACTGCTGGACACCCGCGGTTCTCTCTCTCGGGTCAAGGGAGTGGGCTGGACGAAGCCTCGAGAGTGCACAGCAGTGGCCGACGTCGTTGCCGGCTGAGCTGAAAGGCGTGCTGAAGCGGCGTGTGCGCTAACGGCGGAGGCTGGAAACAGCGCCCATACCCGCCCAGCTTCAGCGAATACACGGCCTCTCTCACGTGGTTTGTAATTCTTTCCATTATTTCTTTCAGCTCTCGCTCCGCTGCTGATATGTACTTGGAGGCAACCGTGACGGGGGAGGGGGGAAATCACCCTTTCGAATAGAAAGGAGGGTGTTTTTAAGGGAAAGATGGGGTCCATTAACAGCCTTTGGAGTCTCGGTTCTTCTTCCTTGGGTGCTAGAATCGGTCATAAATACGCAGCTCCCATCCAAGTGGCTAGGAAAGGCAGCTCAGAACTATCCCGTAATTGTAGTGAAACCTTCAATTATTTGACATTAAGCCCCACTGATGTCTCTAGGTTTGTTTAGGGATAAGGATTGCATGGCTTCTTTTTCTATACAAGGATGTGCTTTATTTATTTGAAAATTTATGACTCCCCAGACTTCAAGGAAATTAATACACAAATAACACAGGGGTTGAATAAGGAGAAAACAAATAATTTACCAGCAGAATTCAAAAATCGTATAAAAATTCCTTATATCCTATACAGTATATCAGTACTGATACAAGATAAATAAAGCCAAGGTATGAATTCAGCAATGTCTGGGGCATTATCCAGTTTGCATCACACAAAACCATAATGTGGATTGTTTGATCTTAAGTCTTGGACAAATTCTGCAGTCATGATTTGTTCAACCATTAATATATTGTGTGAACCAGAATACTGAACCAGATTTTTTTAAAAAAATTGTTGGACAAGCTGTAATGGCCTGGTTTGGATATGATACTTAAGTTATAATGATGGATTTTCCAAAGCTAAAATAATGAAAGCACATTTTGGTTCAGTACAGTGAGGAATATCACTGGCTAGGTTTACATATTGAGGTAAGCCATGAGTTTTGGGAATCTAACCATTTATAGTATATAAAGCATATTTTATGGCTTAGCGTTTCTTTAACAAAACATAGTTAAAGAAATCACAACTTGGCACAATGTGAGATCAATTACTTATACTTTCCCTGTGGTGGTGAAAATGTTTGCTTTCAGTCTGTAGGGAAAATAATGGGTCTGTTCTGTTGTATGTGTTTGGAAGCTGTTATTTATACTTTCATTTGCTGGGACATACAAGCTGTGTGATTCCTATATTTTGTTCTTCATGAATTCCAACTCTGTGGGGGAAATGGGTATTGTGATATAATTAACTTTTTAGCATTTTCTTTTTTTCAAAATGTTTCCTGTTCTGATGTAGAGTGACAGTATCCATTTGTTTCACAGTCATATAAGTTGTTTTTGTCATTTAGGTGAAAACAGGAATCCCCAACACTTTGGGATTGATTGATATATATGGAATGTAGACAGTGTATTCTGGGCTCTTTGGATAAATGTTCCTTTATTTCCAGTACAGCTGCCCTGAGGGATATACAGCCAGTTAGAAAATACTAGAGTTATGCACAGCATTGATTCCTCATTGCACTGATACAGGCACAACCTTTGGAAGGTTAGCAAAGCTATTTTGATTGGTTTTCCAGATTGATTTTTATATGCAGCAACAAACAGCTTCCTGTGAGAATGGCAGTAAACTGAAGTGGCTGCATGGATTCACATGCAAAAGCAATCAAAAACACCCTTGAAGCAATCTGCCCAATTTTTGGAGGGTTCAGTAGCCTCAGTGCTTCAAAGACTTTTTATACCAATTCACTTTGCAAAGTGTCCCTTCAAATGTTGTGCATCCTAGGCACTGATTTGCCAGAATAGTTCTGTCCTTGGACCCTTCCATGGGTATTCAGAAATGATAGTTAATGTTTTTTCTATGATGAAGATGTAATATATTTTAGAGAAAATTAACTCAAAGGTTGGCCAAACCTTTAATTGTTAGATATTTCTTTTCATTTTTTGTTCATTTTTTGTTAGATATTTCTCCCATGACGGCCACAATGGCTCAGTGGTTAAAGATGCTGAGTTTGAGACTTGAGCGTTGCGCAATGCAGTGAGCTCCTGTTCCTGCCCGTTTCTGTCCACCTAACAATTTGAAAGTATGCAAATGTGAGTAGATTAATAGGTACCACTTTGGTGGGAATGTAACAGCATCCTTGTGCCTGTGATGTATAGCCATACTGGTCACATGACCATGGAAAATATCTTTGGACAATGCTGGGTCCCTTGGCCAAGAACTGGAGATGAGCACCATACCCTAGAGTCAGACACAACTGGGCAAGGAAAAAAATATTTACCTTTACCTTTATTTCTCCTATGGTGAACTAAGTCTTTGGGGGGAAATCAAGCATAACTGTGGGCAAAGGGGTAGGTTAGAAAAGATATGATGGTGCAGCATGTATGGGTCATATTGCCAATCTGACACAATTATCACCAGTGGATAACAATGAAGTCAAGATTTAAGGATATTAATGTGTCATTAATTAGATTCCCCAAATTTGGAATTTGCCTGTTTAGGAAGAACTTTGTATATAACAAAGTTGACTATGCAAAAAAGATGATTATGTATACTTGGAAGGATGCATACATGGGTGACTGAATTGGCTTATTGAAAGTTATCAACTCTCAGCCTCTGGAATGGTTATATATTAGCTAACAGATAAGAATAGACAACATAATTCCATGTGGCCTGGGGTTAACTTGTCAGTTAAAAATTGACTATAATAGTAGTACTATTACAAAAAAGGAAAGATATATTGTGGCATTTTATTTATGACAGGTCACTTAATGACTGTTCAGTTACAACAGACCCCTGCCCCAATTACTTACAACTGTTTCAAAGTTATGATGGCTGCAGTACCCCTGCAGTCATTTGCGCTGACAACTGACCCTGGGGATGTGCAGCATCCCCACATCTCTTTCTTCCTCCAAATGACCCCACTTGGGCCCGGGCTGTATTGTTTTAAACTGCAAAGCATTAGGATTATGTCAGTCAGCACAGCCTCACTAATATCAAAACAGTGACTGTATTTCAGTCATAATAAAAAAAATACAGGTCTAACTATATCAGTTGTGACTGTTTGGATTTCATTTACAATTTCACACGTGAATCAGTTACTACATAACTGCCTATGTTTTAATGTAATGTGTTGTGAGAACAATGCTCTCCTTAATAAAAAAACAGTGAATGGAGATAAACGCAACAAATATTTTTATTCAAATGCAATATAATGATCACTGGGCTTTTGGCCAATGGACTGTAAGAGACCAAGCCCCCAAATAAAACAACTCTTTTGGTTGGTCTTTTGGTCTTAATTGTATCCACATCCTTTCACAAGATACCATTCATACTCAGAAAAGAGAGCTATCTGATCTCAGTTATCCATCTCCATTCTTGTTTGTTATCTGTCTGTCAAAGAGAGCCCAGATTGGTAAAGAGTATCTGCTGTAATTTAAACCCAACACAGTGAAAAAAAAAGTCCACATTCATAAGCCACAGTCCACCAGGAAAAGATGGAAAGTCCATAGTAGTGGGTCAGCAGCTCCAAATATCTGTAGTTGTTCTTTCCAAGCTTCATGTCAGAGACAAGATGGTTACTGGCCTAATGCAAGATTCATGTGATCCAAGCCAGTTCAGCAATATCACTGCTGGCCTGTCCACTGCTGTCAGAATGCTATCATCTGCAAAAGAGAACTGCTCATATGTGATCTTCTGTGGCCAATGGTGCTGTTGTATGGCCACCTCCGTTAGCAAAAACATGCCACCAATTTCTTCTAGCATTGCCAACTCCATCTTCATCACTGCACTGCCAACAGTTCACTGGCACACCAGAAACAGTGGCCTTGCACCATAACTGCTGGGGTCTCTCCAGAGGGCTCCCTTGCCATCTCCATTGAGTATGAGACAATCAACAGGTGCCCCTCCTTCTCAAGTCATCCAAAGCCCTGACAAGAGCCCACAATGTTGAACTAACTAACTAACTAAAAACATAGTTCTTTTTTCCTGCTCCCATGCTTGATTGGCTCTGGGAAAACTTGGGGACCCACATATCCATACCCTTCCAATACCATTTACAAACCTCTATCACCCTAATACAATCCAAAACAAAAACCACCCATAAAGAGGTTTTATTTTTATTTATCAATGTTATGAAACAAAAGTTGACATACAAAATAATATACTGAAGACAGTTAAGCTATTAATGTATTTTGTAAATGTTTTCATGTACTATTTTTCTTTTGCAAAAACACAGCAGTGTTCTAGACTTAAGTTTGAGTAATTAAAAAAATATATTCTTCTGCATAACCTAACACTGCTAAAACAAAAAAGGTTTTTTTCTGACAAAAGGCATAAGCATTGATTTATTTCTTACAAATTAAATAATATTGCTGTGATATTTAAAATAAAGACATGTACATGAGTTAATGGAAATACAGTCAAATGTAATAGTAACGATATGGCCATAGCCAATAGCAAGCAGGTTGTGTATTAAAGGTAGAAATATTTCTAGGCACTGTTGGAATATAATAATAATTGTTCCAATGAACTGTAGGGCAGGTTTTTTTTTAATCTGGTGGGAGAGTAAAAGGCAGGATTTCACTTGTATGAAAATATTTCTAACCTGAAAATGGTTCTTCCTATCACATTTGGAATGAGATTTTTCTATTGCATGAGGAATGAGATTTTTCCAGTGGCCTTTTGAAAATACATTAACATTTTAGGACAGAAGTCATCAAATGCTGATACCACAACTTCTAAAAAAATAAATGAATTATGCAACTTGATCTACCCAAATAACCTAGAACTGATCAGGACTGGGGGCTGAGTAAGAACAAAATATTAAAGATATGTAAAGTTTATCAAGCTTCCTTGATAAAGGCTTATTTTATCAGTAGTACCAGTAGATAATCCCTAGTTTCTTTTTACCATCAAACCAAAACATTTCCATTTTGAAAGACTAGAAGTGTAAATTAACAACACATTTCTAAAGACATTCCAAAGATTACAAATACAGTGCTACTTCCTGAACCAGAAATTACAAATATCAGGGCAAAAAAAAATGCTACTGCTACATAGGCAAATATTTTTGACTGAAGGACAGATCCCTTGTCCAGTCAAAGTGGAAACTGAAAACTAACTTAAAGGGCAACTCTCTTTTACATTTCAGGGATTTGATATATTATATTTTAGAATTTAAATGCTGCAAATGTACAATCTGGACACATTTAAATACCAAAAAAGTTCAGATTTTTAAAGAAACATAAGCAAAGGATACTTGAAATTCAGTAAGTGAAACATGCCTTTGGATATTAAAAAGTAAAGTATTTGTTTTGTTTTGTTTTGATCTATAATGTATCATTCAAAAACATCTGGACTTCATTGTGTTTGATTTTATACTACATATATGAGTATAAATTCCCACTGCTATTTAACATTTTCATTTAAGCTTTTTACTGTAATTTAGTATTTTTAATCTGGCATGTATTTATATATAATTTACTGTTTGCTATTGTGCTGATAAAGAATGTAATATAGCTAATAGCTATGATGAAGCAAACAGTATAATGCATTCACTTTTGATTAGAAAATACTGCACTGATTCCTTACAGTGAAACAATATTGTGATTGATCACTTGATTACTTTGTTACAGGACCAGCATTTGCATGTTGTGGTAATTTCTTTTTATCCAAAATGCACATATATATTAAACTTCGCCATTTGCCTTCTTGTCATTCAAGAAAATACAGGGATAGGAAGAAATAGTTATTAATTTTTACTTCCAAGCTCTTGGGAAATCAGTGTGACAGCATGATCTAACAATATAGAACTATACTAGCCTTTTGTTGGATTAAAAACTTGTATTATAACAGAAACTTACAATTCCACAGTGTTTTTTTCCTAATTAAAAACTAGTCACTGAATAAATGCCAGAATTCATGTTATTTTTATTTATTCCCTTCCATTCCTTAATAGATATAACCTAATAAGCAGTTTATATGAATTAATATAAAACACAACAATTTCTACTGGATCAGACAGAGGCTTGTTCATTTGAAATCCTTTATTAGTTGGGACTCATTGAATTCAGGGAAACTTTATTTTGAAAATATATATTCAATTGCACGTTCAATCTAGACCTTTCTTGCCAGAAAAATCTGTTTTTATGGGAATGGGATACAGATATTTTTTGCATCGTTACAATATCTGTTGCTTGATATATACTATAATACATTTAGACAAGTATCACAATGTATTAAGTCTGGCTTAATGTTAATTAAGCATAAATTCATTTAAGTCAATGGAACCTAGATAACAGAAACAAAGGTAACCAATTTTTCATAGATTTTTTCCCTTTTGAGCCCCCACCATCCAGTCAGAGCTGAAGAAACTTTTTGGATGAGAAGTGAAACGTCTTCAAAGAAAAACAAGAAAGTCCAGTTGCCTCATGAAAAAGCATCTTTTGGATAACTATGACTTGGATGACTGAGAATCTCCATAAACATACCCCTTTGGTATAGTTTTCATGTATGTAAAAATTGTCTGAAAAAAAACACCAGTTGTATACTGATTGGATTTCAAGGCCTGTATGTGGAATGGGAATGCTAACCCTTACCTTACTCCATTGGTTTCTAAAACAAAACCTATTTTTTCTATTTTTAAGTTAATCCTAATAGTATAGAGCATGAATGTCAAACCTGATAGCGTCACGTGACATATCGTGATACAGTATATTGCAATATTTTTTCCTTTATGGTGGGCTATAAGACTAATGGCTGTAAGACTCTAGGTCAGCTGTTAGTTTAGAACTGAATAAGCTAGACTGTTGTTTAGACAAACAAGTTACAAAAAGGATTTAAGGCTTTCTTTTTAATCACAGTAGATTCACACAACACTGTAAAATTAAGGCAAACTATATATATGGTCCCTGCAAATCAAATCTTGAATGTTAGGGAAAGAATGGAATATAGCTATTAGTGTGTTATTTTAAAAATTATGCCTTAATTTTAAGACCTTAATAAAACATTCATTTTTCAGTTAGTTTGATGAAATATAATTTTGAGTTAAAACACTTATGTTAACTGGATGTTTTTCTTAGTCAAAGTTTGTGATTTCATGTAAACAACTGAGGTAGAAAAATGAGTAAGATTGAGTATCTCAGTTGAATTTTCTACAAATGCTCACCGTTTGCTATTACAGGAAAGATTCCTGTCGAAAGCCATTGAACAATATATGAATTAGGGCACTGAACATAATTTTGATTCATCAGTTCCATCTGTTGCTTCAGTCTCTCACCTCAGATGAAACAAATTGAATTTCTTACATTAAAATATACTGTTGCCAAGGCAGGCAGTAGAGTTTCTATGACTATTTGAGATATGCATTAGGAAAGCATTTCAGTATAGAATATCTCTTTCATCAGAGCATTAATGATTACCCTATGGATGAAGATGTTGCTTTTTTGAAATAGTATAATGTAGTATTTTTCCAGTGGGGTTTTTTTTTTCATGTTCCTGCCCATACTTAGTTGAACAATTGGTATTGCTGAATCAAGCATTTAAAACAGCCGAAGGAATACATTCACAGAACATGCACAATAAGTCCAGATATTATTTTTCCCCAACAGAAGTCATTACTCTTTATTTACATAGTCACATTTAAGAAGAAAGGGCTCTGTATCCATACTCAAAATACTATTATCCTTCTCTTTGTGGAAACTGGTACATTGTTTAATCCTCAGATAAGAATCTTTACTCATCTCCAACAGGTGGGGGGGGCTGACACAGTCTGTACAATCTGCCAACAGAAAGAACAATTATAATAGCTCTTGTGACATGAAAAATGTTCAAATATTTTTAATCACTATGTGTTTTTCCCCATTAACTATACATCGGTTGAAACAAAATACAGATTGTAAACTAGTATAAAACTACTACCCTTAAAGTACGCATAATTAATTTAATTTTTGTAAGAATCTTTTGTCAGAAAATAGTTTTACACTGATGTAAGTACGGTTATTTTAGTTACTGTCTGGCTCTTAAGAAGAAGCACATCATTTATTTTAACAAAAAGGTACCGTGTATGTGTTTTACTTCCAAGTACTGGTCTGTTGCAGGAGTTCTACAACTTCCCCATTATTATTTTGGGGACTTTATATATATATATATATATATATATATATATATATATATATATATATATATATATATATATATATATATATATATAATTAACACTCCAGGAGATTCTCATCACATTTATTGGGAGCCACCACTTCTACAGAGAGAAATTCAAATTTCCACCCTTTCATGACAGACCTGACAATAACAAATGATACGCTAGAGTAGCCTTTTCTACTTTGTTAGCATTGTAATATAAAAGTATCACAATATATTTAAGTTTTAGGACATTTCTAGAAAAAATAGTGTAGGAGAAGGAGTGGAAGAATCTGGGGGCAGAGTCAAAAGATGTGTTAGGATATCAGAGGGCTATAAAACCAAATATGTTGACTTGTTTGCAAGTTTACAATGCTTGTAGACATTGGTCATAAGAGTTTTCTCTTCCTAGTAATTGCCAAACCAATATTGATTGCCTTGTCAGTAACAAGTGCCTTGTCCTTCTCTGATTAATACCGAAGCACAAATCTCTTTCCCTTTTTAAGGGAAAAAAGAAGAACAAAAGAGATGATGCAGATGGCTTGATGTGCTCATTATACTGGCAGTAACAGATCTACAGTTAGGCTGCACTCACTGACTGCCTCATGCAATGACTGTTTAAAGTTACAACAATGCTAAAAAAATAATTTCATGACCAAGGCATACATTTATGACCTTTGCAGCATCTTTCTTTCTCACTCATTATAGCCAGTTAGTCTTGTACCTGACCTATTTTTGCCCTCCTCCCCCCCCCTCACAGAGTGAAGAGATTGGCAAGGAAGGGGTTATATGACAGTAAGCAGGCACACAATGGAGAACACTCTGGCTATTTGCCTAGCACTCTCACAGTTTCCAGCCCTGAGAAGGATAGACAAACAGCCAGAGCCAGCACATTTCTTTTGATATGTACTGCATTTTCCACTCTATGCCTGTTTATTCTCTTGTAATCCCTTCCTCTTCAATTAATGTAAATATAAGCATTAATTTCTTTCTTGCTAATTAGCCCAGCACTGGGATGAGCATTCAGTTGGGGGAAGGGAGTGGAAAAAAAATAAAGCTGAAGTAAAATCATAAGCAGTCACAGTCATGTGATTTTCCACTTAGCAACTTAAGTTGCTAGTTCCAATTATGGTTGCTAAATGAGAATTATATGTATGTCAGGCCCTTTAAACAGTTCTGCTATTATAGTGGAAGGTCAGAAAAGCCAAACATCCCCTCTAAATTCATACAATTCAGCCCCAGGCAACACAACACAGCAAAATTTGGCAGCTTCAGCTTGAATCCTCATTATTTGAAAACAAGTTTTGTGATAGTGAGAAATTGCAGTTTTATTTTTGGGACTTGCAGTAGTGTCACAGGAGTAGTAAGAGCCTCATGTTGATCCCCAATTAGATCTGTCACCATGTGAAATGATCCACAGCAAGATAATTCTTCAGTATTTGAACAGAGAACAATTGTAGATACTGGCTTTTCTCCCCATCCATCAACATGTTACCCCTGTATGTCCAATATGTCCAATGGCATCTCATAATAGCAAATAGAGAGGGATACAAAGAAGAGTCTTCTACTGCTTTTCCAAATTATGCCACTAATTAAATGGGATCACTGTATTTTGGGAAGATGGCATAACCAACATTTAGCATTTATTTTCTACCTTAGAAATTTATTTAAACTACAGATATATTTGAAGGCTTTAAAATTCAGCATTAATATGAGTGAGTCTTTCAACGTTTCACTGACATCTCTTCATACTGTAGCTCAGCACATTCTGTGAGCAAGATGTAGTATTTGTACTATAATATCTTGGGTACTGAAAGTTCTTCATGTATTAGTTTTAGTGAACTCTTTGTAAAAAATAATTCAGAATACAAGCTCTCACTTTAGTAATTTTTTTTTTAAATTTGATGATGTTCCTACTGAGAAACCAATTACTAGGTAAAAATAATTATATTAAAATCTGATTCTAAAAAAAATTAAATATTAGTGGCCTTGCAAATCCAGAAAATATACCTGGCAAAAATTGTTAAAATTATTTCAGGAAAAAGAAATAAATTGAAATGTTAAATTACCTTGGAGCAGATGGTGGTGTTCGGTCCCTAACTCCTAAATTCTTTGCAGTATTTTGAACTCTTGCTCCCTATAAGAATGAAAAATAGTTGTGCTTCCCATACAATTTTTTTAAGTATCTGCTATGATAATTACCAAACTAACTTTCAAAAAGGAAAAAGGCAGAATATAAAAATAATTACCGTAAATGCCGACGTATAAGGCGACTTCCGCGAGCGCTGAAATCGGCACCAAAGACGGGGGTCGTCTTATACGCTGAGTCGTCTTATACGCCGGAAATACTGGTAGTTTCCGACGTATAAGACGACGTTCTAGGAATGCGGCCCGGCTATAAAGACGGGGATTGTCTTATACGCCGGGTCGCCTTGTACGCCGGCATTTACGGTACTTGTATATCAGAAATATATGCATAAAAATGCTAATGGAAAATCTATGTTACTGTTCAGCCCATACTCTCAGTGCCTCTTTAAAGAAACCACATCTTTTCCTGGGCTTGTATAATAGCTGCACAATTTCAAGAAAATATGCATTTGAGTTAATGAGATGTCAACACTGTACCTATGCCACTCCAAAACACCTTGTGTTACACACTGTTGATACTTCTCCAATTCAAAATATGTAATTTTCTGCTATTGAACCTACCAGTTGAACCTAAGGGAAAAAAATATACAGCATACAGCATGCATACAACTCCAAAGCACTTACTTGGTTTTCAATCCAAGCACTACATATTTCTAATAGCATACTAGAAAAATGTGGGCTGTACATCATGCTAATTCAGGGAGTACATAGCTGGCTTAAAAATCGCATTCAAATAACACTAATCAATGGTTCCTCATCAAGCTGAAATGAGGCCACAGGATTCAGTACTGAGTCCTGGAATGTTCCATATTTTATTAATTGGTGTTAACCTTGAAGAAGGCATGTAGAAAAAATCTGCAGATAATGCAAAATTGCTAAGATAGCTTATTTGTTTGTTTGTTTGTTTGTTTAATTAACTAATTAATTTCTATAGCCAACCATCTCAGCAAACAATTCTAGGCAGCTCACAATTAAGAAACATATATTACAATTAAAATCTGTAAAACATTTTAAAACAATAAAAACAGTAAAACCATTAAAACACTGAAAAACATTAAAACATCTAATTCAAATAACTTAGTAGACTAACATAAAAATTTTAATGATCTTGCTAGGTTAGAGAAATGAATTGAGAGTAAAGAAAAAAATTTAACAGATAATTGCAAGTTGTTACAGACATAGGATATGGAATCCTTGGCTTGATAATGGCACTTAAAAGAAAGATGGTAGAATAATAATTGATTGCAAACTGAATATGAGTCATGTGGCTACAACAAAAAACGGCAAATGCAATTTTGGGCAGAGAATAATTTCCAAAATAGGAATCTATGCTCAGAGAAATTGCAAGAGTTAAAAGAAGGTCCTATGAAGATAAATTAAAAGAATTGTATCTATTTAAGTTGTATATATACAGTATAGCAGTGATGGCGAACCTATGGCACGAGTGCCAGAGGGGGCACTCAGAGCCCTCTCTGTGGGCAGACGCGCCATTGCCCCAGTCCTAAGCCTTCAGCTGGGTTTTATAAAACCTTTTCGCTTTAGGCCTCCGCCGCCGTGTGCAAAAAAAAAAAAAAGGTTCAATCAGTCAATTTCAACTTCTCGCGGGGAAAAAAAAGATCTTGCAAAGTTGGAATTGACTGATTGAACTTTTTAGTCCAACCCAGTCTGCTGTTACCACTGCAGCCACGCCCACCCAATGGGCCACACCCATCCGGCACTCGACGATGCATAAGTGGGTTTTGGGTTGCAGTTTGGGCACTCGGTCTCTAAAAGGTTCGCCATCATTGCGTTGAAAAAAGACCACTAAAGAGAGGAATAACTTACTTGCTTGCGCATCACATCTGTAGCTTGGAGGATATAGCGAGGAGGTAGACCATGACTCCGAGCAAGAATTATTGCTTGCTCTAAAGTGATGCTCAGAGTACAACTAAACAAAAATCAGAGAAATCAGTATTTATTTTATTTATTAAACAAATTTATAACTCGCATAGGTCGTCCCAGGTGGCTTACAAACACATTCAATGTTGGTATTTTTAAGGCTGTATATAATTTTAATGCATTACTCATTAGTCAGACAAGAATTAAAATGGCATTGAAATCTTCTGTAAGCTGCTGCTGTAACATTTTAATTTTTAAATTCAATTACTAACTTAGAAAGTTAGCTTGATAATACCCCCCCAAACAGACTTAATTTATTTTTATGTCTGATTAATAAATCTAAACATGTTCCACACATAATACTGTGAGGCTTAAAAGGAAGAAATGTATATTACAATGAAATACTGTGGTACAAGAACTCTTTTTTGCTTTGATACAATATCAGACATTGCTCAAACTTTTGCATTTTGGCTCTTCTTCTTTTTCAGCTGTTGGATGCTCGATATTTAATTCTCTTCTCTGAAATTAAGAAAGCATAGAGAACCAAACCAGCAGTTAATATCCTAGTCATTTGCAGGTAGCCAAGATTATGCCAAAATAGTAAAGCACGTCTAGCCATATCATGCTGCATTTTTCCCCTTCATACTTACATCACAAAATACCATACAAGTATGTAAGGGGTGGAGTTTGTATCACAATCTTGTGATGTATGTATTCTTCTCCCCCTACCAGATTTCCACAAATCTTTCATATATATTTCAAACAATTATAACTAATTATTCTTTTTACTGAATAACTTTAAAAACAAATATTTTAAATATTCATTTTAGATTTTATATTCTCATTGCTAAATAAATATCCTACTAGCTTTTCCTTCTACTAGTTACTCACTCTATTAACTTTGCTGGATTTCACTTATTAATGACTTTTAAATAAATTAGTTTTCATTCATGAGAATGTCAATAATATTAGGATTTTATTCAAAATAGTGAGGAGAGTTCCAAAAGTCTATATTATTATTATTAAACCTGCCCATTAAAATTTCAGTTCTCTTCTGATGCCTTCCCTATATTGCTGATAGCCTTCACAAGGCTAAAGGAGATAGTGTATGTATCAAAATAGTTTAAATATTGCCTGTAGAACAGATATTTCAAACTTGCGAAGTCACGTGACATTGCACAACATATTGGGACTGTTTTGCCATTGTCGGCAATGGAATGGGCGTGGCTTCCGTGTGACGTGTCCGGCCCACAGGCCAGCAGTTTGATAGCCCTGCTCTGGAACTACCGCGTAACCACACTCCCTAAGACAGGGGTCTTCAAATGTGGCCCTTTTATGACTTGTGGACTTCAACTCCCAGCTGGCTGAGGAATTCTGGGAGTTGAAGTCGACAAGTCATACAAGGGCCAAATTTGAAGACCCCTGCCCTAAGAGGTATGTACCATCTTCATATATCTTATTTGCATGCATATATGTATATACAGAAACCAAAAGACAGAATAAGGCCTCTAAAAATCCTAGATTTCATGGTCCCAATTTCAAGAAGTCACAGAATATTTAAAGAATTCCAGATTTTATTTCATTCTTTATTTCATGTCTATCATAGATATTGTGATAGTTTGTTTTACATCTATACTTGCAATAGTTAATAATGCAGGGTTTTTTTTCTAAAACAACCTACCCTGGAGCATAAAACCTTCATTGCTGTCCTAATTTCTAATATGTGCTTTATTTTTTCCTCTAGATACTGTTACAGAGAATAATAACAAATCTAGGTAATGAAAATCAAAACAGAAAACTCATCTTGGAGTTTACATCAGAGGCTGTTTAAAAACAATCTTATTGTTATAAAATAATGAATTGTACAAATTGCAGTTGACAGTTACAATTCTAAGCTATTACTTTTTCTTTTTTAAAAACTGAGCAAAACTATTTTAATACAGAACAAGCACCCAGTGGGGAAGATGGCTCAGATTGTGTTTTATGAACCAAAAGTGAATCTAGAAACTTATTTTTCATAATTGGTTATTATCCTTGTGAAGTATGCAATTGTACTGCAGTTGTACAAATAGTTTATTTCTATTTTCAAAAAGATCTCCACTAAAGAAAGATTGGCCATTAGCTTCTTATGTTACTTGCACTTGTTCTGGAAAACTGGGGGCGTTTCATACACTAAGAAGTCAGTAGACTTATCTTTACAGGTAATCCCTGAGTTACGAGCATTAACGCTCGTTCAAAGTTACATGATAAGCATCCCCTAGTGTTTACAAACAAATCCCAAAATTATAAATGTTGCAGCACCATGGCAGTTGTTCACCCTTAGGAAGGATTGCAGAGGCTCTGCAACATTCACCCTATTCTCCCCCACTCCCCACAACTGCTTCCCCTTCCCTTCCTGCTGCACTGGATTCACTTACCTTGAAAAGATCTATCTCCTCTCTGCCATGGTTACTGCCTTTGAGGGAGACAAGAGTCAATGGAAGCTCCTGGATGCCGTAATATCGTGTGAGTTCACGCACCCATCCTCTTTTGCCTGGCTCCTATTCCCCCAACTCCTTTCCACTGCCACCGGAACACTTTTTATCCGACGGAGACCTGTGTTTTCAAGCATTCCATTTGCTCACAAATGGAGCTTCCAGTCTCCCCAAGGTCTCCTTTAGATAAAAAATGTTTGAGTGTCTATGGGATGCTTGGAAACACAGCAAATCACTCAAACACTTTTTATCTGAATGGAGACCTTGGGAAAACTGGAAGCTCTATGAGCAAATGGAGCGCTTGAAAATGCAGCAAATTTCTGTGTTTTCCAGCATCCCATTTACACACACAGTTTCCAGTGTCCCCAAGGTCTCTGTTTGGAAAAAAAGTATTCCAGGGGTGGTGCATCAAAAATGAAAGTTTCTGGGGTCCATGATCTCGCGAGAGTTCAGGCACTCATTCTCTGCAAAAGAGATTGGGTGCCTGAACTCACGCAATATTACAGCATCCAGGAGCTTCCATTGACTCTCATCTCCTCAAAGGCAGAAACCGTTGCAGAGAGAAGACAGATCTTCTCAAGGTAAGTGAGTCCAGCAGAACAGGAAGGGAGGGGGAAGCATGAGGTATCTGGTAGGTCGGGGAGGCATTGGGGGAACTATTCCATCACCAGGCCCCCCATGGCCTTCCCCATCATGAGATACCTCATGCTCACTGAACAAACTATGCATTTGCCCATGCATTCGATTAGCGAATGTGTGGGCAAAAGCAGGGAGTGATCTCATTCAACACATGAGATTCACCCCTATGAGTACTCAAGTTACGAATGGAATGGGCAAGCTTCATTACATTAATAACTCGAGAACTACCTGTATTTTATATTTCTAGCAAAGAGTAGCTCAGTCATTTGAACATCTATACTCTATAAAAAAAATAAAAGAATATAATTCTATTCAGGCATTACTGTTCATGTTTAAGACATGAGTATGGATGATATGCAATATAAGCAAGCTTCAGTGCCATGTCACATAATACATCTACTTGTTTGTCAAGATATCCACATAGTTAGTATAAAGATCTCTATGAGGTTTATCAGTACATTTGTCTATTTGGTTGTAGTTAAAATAGCTGAATGACTGAATGAGCCATTTCTAACTTTTTAAAACAAAATTTTTCTTTTTGGCCATACTATCACAAAATATGTAACTCGCAACATAAAAAGATTGCAAACTCCTTTGTGCAACAATTTACAACCAAAATTCCTGGTTCATTTGTGGTATATTAAGATCTATAGGATCTGTAAAAGATTTGGGTAAAATGCATACTGATGGAACAGTACAATAGTATCCAATGCAAATGTAATGTTCTGGAGTGTGATATCATTGTTGCAGAATAAAATAAGATTTGGCTCTGGGTTTGTTAAGGTAATCCAGATGAATGTTAGGGAAACACAGTTCAGGATAAGGTTAGAAGTACTTAGAAGCAGTTTCAGAGCAGTTTTTGTTATACACTATGTCTCTCGTTGAATTGAAGGATCTAACGCAATATATAGAATTACACCTCAATCTGTTGAGAGAACTTGGTAATATCATCATGTATTCAAGAAGAATACTAGGATATGTAGGTAGAACCAATTAGTTTCGGAAAATGTCAATTCCATTTTAAAATATATATTTTAGAGAATGTGAAAAATGTTACATATTATCATGATAGCCCAATAGAATTCTACTCATGCAATAAGGCATTAATCTATTGGAATTATTTTACAATTTTCTGTGAAGCAGTTCTATATTACTAATGACTGGAGCAGCATAAATAACTGCAAGATAGTTATTGCCATTCATATCCATATCCATACCCATCTTCTTTATTCTTGAGTCTAGACAGCAATTAATAGTAATTTTTAGAAAATATAAATTGCCATACCGATGAACTCCACTGTTGCATAAGACGATGTGACAAGCTCCCAACCGGCTGCAAAGTTCTGAAGAGACGGACAGTAGTCCAACTCCAGAAGCACCACAAGCTGTGTAAGCACAGGCTGCTGTGCGCTTGGATCTTATGAAAGACGCCATTAGTCGGTAAAGCTCATCCAAAGAATTTACAGGCCTCATTAGCTGCCAAATAAAATACAATGCTACTATCATTAAAAGACAATATAGTGATCATGTGGTATTTTAAGTTCAACAAAATTAAAAAAAAATGCTGTCTTGAACATCCTGTACAGATGAAGTCCTAACTTTTATTCTTTCCATAACTCATATGATGACCATTTATTAAATTTAAATCCTGCAGTTCTGTCTATACAACACTTAGAGTAACCTATAACAAGCAAAAACATAAATTATAAAATATATAAGTAAAATCAATGCACCACAATTAAAATCAGGTAAGATTAAAATCAATTAAAGGTTTGTGCAAGAGATAGGTTATTGCATTACATTACAACCCCACAGAAAAGGCTCTTTCTCACATGGGTCTAATTTCGCTTACCATGCCTTTTTATATACTCTTTGGCAATCTCTCAGGCATTGTCTTTCACTTCAAGGCTTTCTTAATTGCTTTTCAGTGCACTAGAGTAGTTACATTATTCTATGTAGTGATTCTCAATAAACATATATGACAAACAGACATTAACTCTAAATCTTTTAGTACAACATATTTTTTTCTGAAAACTGACCTAAGCAGGACCATATTAAGGCTAACCGATTTCCTAAGCACAGTCCAACAATGGTGCCCTCAACAGAATGAAAATCTCACACAATGAGATGAAAACAAATGTGATATCTGACAACATCTTTAAACTTACATTTTAGTCATTCACCATACCAAATAAATTAATTGCAGTTCTGAATATAACAGGCTTGGACGAGAGATGGCACCTTTCCAATTTCTCAATATTCAGCACTTAAATCTTATTACTATGGGACAATGAAAGTATTTCATGCAATTTAAGGTTATATTTATATATATACAGGATGCACCGCTTCACAATAAAGACAGACTTCCACTTATAACCATTCATTTAGTGACTGTTCAAAGTTACAACAGCACTGAAGAAATGGTGCTGTTTAAAATCATTTTTCACACTTACAACTGTTGCAGCATCCCATGGTCACATGTTCAAAATTTGGGTGCTTGGCAACTGGCTTGTATATATGATGCTTGCAGTGTCCCGGGGTCATGTGGTCACGTTTTGAGATCTTCTGACAAGCAAAGTCAATGGGAAAGCCAGATTCACTTAATAGCCATGTTACTAACTTAACAACTGCACTTATTCACTGTAGCAAGAAAGGTAAAATGTAAAATAGGGCAAAATTCACTTAACAACTGTCTTGCTTAGAAACATAAATTTTGGGTTCAGTTGTGATCGGAAGTCGAGGACTAACCTGTAGAGCATATTCAAATTTTACTTTAATCATACCTATTGATTTACCTTATCAATATAAGCAGCTTTTGATGTTGAATTAGGAGGAAGATTTGATCTGTCCAGATAAAATGCTCTAGAAAAAGAACACCCCACAATATATTAATATTTCTCAATAACATGTATAAGATAAATGCATTCAGTCTCTTTGTGACATGTTAAAGTATTTACAACCCTGAAATTGCAGGACATTAAATATGAACTGCCTTATGAATCCCTATGTGGAATGTTATTGTGCTAAAAATAATTCTGAGGTACTCAAAAGCCGAATTAAAAGCATTCTACCACAGAATATAGACAAATGCTCAAGAGACAGTAAAGAGAATAGAATTTTAAATTATAAAATTCTTTTTTACATGTTTAGAATTCTTGATGCTCATATAGGCTTTGATCACAATAACAGCAGCTTTTTGCAAATCACCACAGTAAATAAAAATTTCAGAAACTGATTATGCATCAGAATCCATGCTCACAATAGTATTTATAATTTCATTTCAGCATAATTAAAAATATCCTTCATCTATACGAGAGTGACACTTTTTTGGAGTTTGGGACCTGCACAACAACCCTCCGGAATATAAGAGCTACTGGGACAGGACAAACATGCAAAGTGGCCATAAGTCATGAACTTGTATAAAGCTAGGATTTTAGCCTCTTTATGTGTAGGAACCTTCCTAAATTATGTTAAATTTATTTATGCTTACAGTTAGAGTGTTCATATATTTTCCAATTTAAAATGATGGGAAGCAATGCTGCTAATTTTAAACAAAACTCTCATATTGTATAGTACATATTAAAAAAGGAAATGACATTTCCCATCATATTTATCTAATATAAATTATTTTTAAAATACATTTCAGTTAAAAAAGATTCCTGCCAGCAATGCAATATAAATCTGTGACTCTTAAAAATATATTATGACATAAAGTTTCATTTTGCACAGAGACCAAAAATGTATTTGGAATGTTTGAAAGACATGCAAAAAACCAGTTTCAGAGCTATTCTTAGCATCAGATTTTGGCCAAAAGGTCATGCATCAGAAAAAGTAGACAACTGAACATTCTATGAAAGTTTGATCCAAATAATTTTGAAAACTTATACACATATACTAGGGAGTAAGAACTACATTCACTTGGGACTTATTTCTTGGTTAAATGTTTTGAAATGTATTATACATATATTAGCCTTTATAGACCAACTTTTTCTCCTTATTGCTGCTGGTACACTTTTAAATATAGCTTTTTTATATCTATAAATGGACAGAATGGGGGCAGTGTTGCAAAATATCACATATTATGTATGTATGAACATATACCTGATTAATTTGGAATGGCGCATACCTTTACAAATGTAACTTCACTGTTTTCTATACATGGCCACTGTTATAGGTGCTGCTGGGAGAGTTCTTTTTAAGTATTGTTCTTAACTTTTTTTCAGCACAAGTGAAAAAATGACAGTTGGCTTTGTGTCTAAAGCAGGACTAGTATTCATCATGGCTCCCAGTTTCTGGCCTTACTTATTACATCAAACTGGCTCTGGGGGTAAGGCTATTCCTCCCAAAATTAGACTTTTAAAATATGACATATAAAAAAAATTCCTCCTTAATTAGCTGACACTTGAGTGAAAACTGGTAGAACAACTTCCAGTGGCTTTTCACAAAAGGATATTTGGTGGATAGCATACAAATTCCCAAAGCACTTCACTTAATTACTAAATGCTTGTTGAGAACCCCAATTAGATGTTATGAGGAAAGCTAATGGAAAAGCTGGCATATTACCTGAAAAAGATTCAATTTTCTAATCTACTTAAAATGATAAGGATGAAATCTTAATGCTTATGCACATGCAGAAAGTATTTGCATTATAGCTTTTAAAATTTAGTAGATATTATTGAAGGGGTTTTTTTTGTGAATGTAGAATACCCGTAAACTGACAGAGAAAACTTGATTCTGTTCTACATCAAGGTTAGGTTGTGTGAGTTGCTACCTATCATTCTCCAGTTTAAGGAACAGAATTTTAAACCTTCTGTTCGTAAACCCAGGTTACTTAATGTAAGAACATGAATCTGCTATTGTATACCAACAGCTTCTCCATTTTCAAATAATGCTCAATGCATTTTAATTTCCCCAACTGTCCTCGCCATCTGCATTCCAAATTCTCTGGTGAAACATAGAATTCCCTTGTCTCACCACATTTGACAGGAGACTGACTGCTCTATTTTCCTTTGCTGTTCTACCTCTCTCACTGCATTTTAATTACTACAAAATGAAACTAAACGTTTTATATTTCTCCTCTTATATTTATATATTGTATAGTGAATGTTTTAATATTGTGTGATGCTGGAGTTGTTTGTTTATTGTTGTATCTATCATGTGTTGCATTGGTTCATTTGTATGGCTTTATAAGAATCATGAACACAAGTTTGCCACTACTTTCTTCCCATCCTCCACCCTAACCATATTTTTTTTGTCCTTGTTTTTATGTGACTTTAGTTTTGCAAACCTGGGATTATGGAGAGAGAGCAAGAGAAAGGAGTGAAAATTATATGTAAGGGAGGAATTTACAGTATCTCTCTAGCCTTACTTTGTATTGGGAGAAGTTGTGTCCACAAGGATAAAAAGAGTATGCATTCAGTTGTAAATAAATGCATTGTTTAATTTTGAAGTGAAGTTAGGAAAAGCAATGTGAGGTTTCCCACATATATCACCTCACCCAAACAGTTCTCAGTGGTTTGGGAATGAGGAAAACTGAAAGAGAAATGCATACAAACTGGAGCCTCACTTTGCAGCACAGAACCTGTTCCTGTTTCCACTTCCCTGGAGAAAGGAACAAACACAAAAACAAACAAAAAGCTGTTTTGCAAATCTAGTTTGAGCAGGAGTTTTTCTCCTCTCTCAAAACACTAGAACCAGGACTGTTCCAATGAAGCTGATTTGAAGGCAATTTAGGACAGACAAAAGAAAGTATTTATTCACACAGTGCATTAATGAACCAGTGGAATTCATTGCTGTAAACTGTGTTGATAGATATTAACATAGGTTTATAGAATGTAAAGGTTGAAAGGGATCTTAGAGATTAATTACTTCAACGTCATGCCCACCAGAGATACTACTATCCCCCCAAAATAGATATCAAAATTCTGTTGAAAATTTCCAACAAAGGACAATCAATCTCCTGTTACTCCTGGTTGCGCTAACAGTCATTGATTGAGACATCCTCCTCAGTTGCTATTTATTTTAATTTTTGTATTCAAATTGGTTTTGAATTGGTTTTATTAAAATTGTTTATAATCCCATAGTTATTTGATGAGATGGGCAGTCATGCAAACTGAATAAATAAACACATAAAGAAAATGAGATTTCATCATTACACATTATTTTATTTGAAAAAATCCTTATGCGACAATCCCCAAACACTTAAATTGATGACAGGGAGAGTGTGGTAAAACTAACAACACTGTCTTCCACCTAATATATCAATACAGTCTAGGACTCCTGGCCCCATAAGGATCATTCTGGAAATTTCTTCTGATTGAAATCATCTTCCAATCAACATAGTTCAGAGTAAATAGACACTACTTAACCTTATCACAACCAGAAAACAGAAAACAATATGCTATTTTTTAAAGTGCTCTGAAGAAAACAGAATTAGCAAAGACTAGTTACAAAATCCAAGTGTTATCAGGCAGAAAGTTTGATGAGCACAACCTCTCTACTAACTAAAGCAACAATGTCCTTTTTTTCAGACTTTTAAACAAATCTAAAGTAGAAATTTTGTTAATAAATAGTAGAGTAATGCTGAGCTTGCATGAAATACAAAACACTCCTGAATCTTTTTGAACTATACAACTTTCATAGGTAGGCCTTTTCTGGGTTGAAAAGAAATTAAACAAATGGAGATTAGAAAAACACAGATTTAGTTCTTAAGGCTGCAAGCTTTGTCTTAGTTTTATCATTTGGCATAACATGGGGATATTTTCAACTTGAAAAGGAATTGTGTAGCATTGTGAAAACAACATAGGAATAAGCCTATTGTTTGGAACATGACTGAAGGGAACTATAACAATAGAGTGGTGCATTAATGACATTACAGCTGTTGCTAACTCAACAAATCTGTTTATAAAGTTGGGTTCACATAGAAACACAATTACTTTGTATAATACAAAATAATGCTTTTGTTACTAAGAGAGAGGAAGGGAAGATAATATACTGTTTTTATGCACTATGTTACTGAAAGGAATTTACTGTTATTTGTCTTCTCTCTTTAAACAGCCCAAGCAACAAAATGAGTAGAAGTTGTAAAGCATTTGGAAGGAAAGGTGAAATACAAATTTCCTTCTAATCTGAACATCTATTTTAATTTGTAAGAACTCATCAGCAACATAAAGAAGTTATTATGTTCATAGGAGATGATTTGGTATTATGTGCCCATCGGACTCTTTTACATAACTAATAAGAGTTAGATTCACTTCCATATCTTCAAAAGAGGCAATTATCTTGATATGCTTAATGGTTCACAGTACTGAAAAAAATCAAATTGTGGCAGTGAAATAATAAAACAAAAACCATAGTACAGACTCTCATATGAAGTACCAAAATATGCATGTAAAGTTGGCTGAATAGGTTATAGGAATTATACTGGAAATGTGTCATATGTTCAGATGTTTGTTTTATTTTTTCCCTATATAATTAGTCAAAATATTAACTAGACTGATTTCAGACTGGAAAAAAGAAAATTCTGAATGTGTTTGCACACTATGATCCATGAAAGCCGGACTTTTGTCCATATTATTTTAGCATCATGACGAAAATTTGTGCTTAGAAATAACAAATAGCTCACCTGAGTTTTTGATTATATTGTTTTACTTTTTCCAATGAAGCTGCATTAATCTGGGCTTGAAATTCTTCTACTGATACATTGTCTCTATAATAATATCCTTCCATACTTTCCAGGGCTATAAAAGAATACAAAGGAAACAATACAGATTCTTATCAAACTGATCCATTAATTTATTTTTTCCAGTTTTCCTATATCTATAAATGTTGTAGTTCTCCAAATATGATATTGCCTTTCCGCAGCTAACACAAACACTCACGTACATGGTCATATTATCTAAAAAAAAAAAAAAAAAAAATTCTAAGTAGAAAGATATCAGGAGCTTGTTCTTTTCTATACCTTTAAATATATTATTTAAGTAATATATTATATTATTTAAATAATTACTTATTATATAAGTATTATATAAGTATTATATAGTTACTTATTATATAAGTTAAGTAAGAATGTTGTGCATTTCACTGTTGCATAGAGAACATACACATTCCTATAGGACCATGGTGGTGAACCTATGGCACGCATGCCACAGGTAGCACACAGAGCCCTCTCTGTGGGCACACGCACCGTTGCCTAGGCCTTCAGCTGGGTTTTATAAAACCTTTTCACTTTAGGCCTCCACCGCCGTGTGCAAAAAAAAAGGTTCAATCAATCAATCAATTCCAACTTCTCGCGGGGAAAAAAAAGATTTCGCAAAGTTGGAATTGATTGATTGAACTTTTTAGTCCCATCCAGTCTGCCATTACCACCGAAGCCACGCCCACCCAATGGGCCACGCCCACCCAGACCCAACAATACGTAAGTGGGTTTTGGGTTGCAGTTTGGGCACTCAATCTCTAAAAGGTTTGCCATCACTACTATAGGACATCATCAAGTTAACACATAAGATTAGGCTAACCTAAATATCTGCAATAGCTGTTTTCGACTAAGTAAGAGATTTGTTCTTTATATATTACAAGAGATTATATGCTTTCAGGATAAAAGACATTCCCAAACCATATAATTATCCCCTTTACTGACAAAATTTGAAAACAATTTTTAAACTTTTAGATCTTTTTTTTCCCCAAACTTGGCAACTTTAATGAAGATGGACTTCAACTCCCAGAATTCCCCAAAAGCACATGTTTTTAAAAAGAAACATTTGTACATCATATCAAATTCAACCATGCAAGAAGATGTCCATCTAGACAGAACTGTACAAACAAATGAATATATTAAAAATAGACATTAGTAAGATAACTGCAATGAAATATTCAAAAATGTAGAACAACATACATACCTTTTACTTATGCGTGATGTGATTTTCTTCAAAATACTGCTTATTCATAAATGCTGTCAAGCTTCAGAATGCCAGTAACTATATTATTTTTCCTATTAATTTTTTAAAAGTGTTAAGAATAGGCAGGGCTTTTTTTGTCATAGAACACCCAGAACGGAGTTTCGGCACCTTTTTTTGGATGGAACCTTGTAGGGTAGGCAAGGCGGGTTGTATGACGTGTGTGAGTTCCGGCACCTTTTTTTTTTTTAACAAAAAAGCACTGGAAATAGGTGAACTTGAAAATATTTTACCTTGTGCAAATAGAACTGGGTAAAGTTTAAAACCTCCACCATTTTTCAGCCTTTGAGGAAGCTGTTCAAAATTGTAAATATCAAGATAAAAATAAATTTTCATAGCTTGCCGACTTCCTTCTGCTTGAAATGTGATTGGCATATCTAAAAATAAAATAAAATAACATTTTGGTCAAAATTACTAGTCCAAAGTTTTTGGGTTAAAGATGGGACATAAAACAAAACATCACAATTAATTCTTGTGTTGCCATAGGAAACATCATTCAGATTAAAAATCTACATTCAGACAATCTACTGTCTGAATGCCAAACATTGAATCTTTCTGCCACAATGTTTGTAAAATACTAATTCTATGTCACAGTATCATCACATAATTAATTTCCTTACTTTATACTGCTGGATAAAGATACGAAAATGCAGTGATAACATACTACATGGAGTAATGGGATGTTAAAGGAAGCATCCATTGATGGGGCACAAATGAAGTCCCAATGAGAATACTAAATGTGACCATTTCAATTATTAAACATTTATTTTTAAAGAATACATACTTTTTAGTGTCTAAAATCCTACAAGACTTTGCGTTCTTGCATAAATATTAAAAGATTTCAGCCATTTTTAATTTTAAAAACTTAGTGAAAATGTAATACTCCCAATCAGAGAAAGACTTTTTCTTCTATACTTTCTTATGTAGGTATCATTAGATTTCTGAGATAGCTTTAAGAAAAAAAATGAAATTGTGACTGTATTCATACATTGTGTTCATACTGAGACTTGAATAAAGACTTGCTGCCCATCTTTCTATTTTGTGCCTGGCTACTTAACCTAATAATTCTTATTTTACCTCTCACTTATACTAATGGCTATAGCTATCATAAGTAACATTAAACCTACTGTATTTGTTAGGTACTATAAATAAAGAAATGGATATTGGAGAGCCACTTTGGTATAGAGGTAAAGGAGTTGGCTTAGAAACCAGGAGACCATGAGTTTTAGTCCCAATTTAGGCATGAAAGTCGGCTGAATGACCTTGGCCCAATCACTCTCTCTCAGCCCAATGCATCTCACAATGTTCTTGTTGTGAAGGGAAAAAAAGGAGGAGGAAGGATTATGTTTGTCAGCTCGAAATAAGAAAAATGAGGTAAATACTATATAGGATATTACCAATCTCCTCAAAATGGTTAAAAGTTGAAAAATTTGCATATGGACAAGAATACAATGAAGTTTACTATACAAGCAAATGTGACACAAATGAAAATGTTATATCATCAAATATTTTACCACAAATATTGAAAGGGGAAATTTAAGTATACTTTGCAATACTCACTTGCTATTAAAGGTTCCTGTTCAGAATGTTTAAAATAAAATGTAACTTTCTCCAAGTCAAATAATGCAATCAATGTATCTTCTAGCATAGCTTGTTCATCAGTCTGCAAATATATATTCATATAGACAGAAAGTAATGATCATGCTAGATTGATTATTATAAACATTAACCGCAGATGGTCATATCCTCTTTCACTGAAGCAATAAACTGACTCATCAGTAAATTAAGATGGAGTGACTTCTACTGAATTTTACTCCATTTTCTCTTGTCAAATTATTAGCAACAATGTATACAGAACAGAAAGTTAATTACTGTGTTGGCTCTGTAATTTAATTGCATAGAATTTTAATTGTTGTTCAAGTAAATGAGTGTATTTAAAATGTGTTAATACAAACCAAGCTTAAGTGCTTACACTGGCTTTTGTAAATTACAATATTTAGTATACTGAAAAGAAAATAACATTCTGTATTATGGCTTCTAAAATAATTTGTAATTTTCTCACATTCCAATCCTAGGGCTCTTAATTATCTCGGTTGCTGTTTGTATTTATTTTCTGGATGTTTTTATATTTGATAGTTTAATTCTTTTATAATTTTAGAACTGTAAGCAGCCCAGAGTCACTTGATTGAATTAGGCAGGACAGCTATAGAAATTGTATGAATAAATAAATATCTGAAATTCTGAGGACAAATCATGGCTACACAAAAATACATATACACACACCACAGAATGGCCTGCCGTGGCAGTTTGGTTATTCCATTTCATTTGGATTTCATTTGGCGAGTTGCAAGCATTACACCATCATTCACCAGAGGTATATATATGAAATTGTTCACTGCTTCCCCATCAAATCCCTTCAGGATTTATCTTTCTACATCCCAGATCATTCTTGGATTTTTTTTTCCTCTGTAGGAAAACACATTTCCAAATAAACAACTAGGCTGAAACCACTTGACCTTTTTATTTTCTAGCAACACTTCATTTGTAGTTCTCCAAGATTCCTCGCTGTTAATCAAAATAATTGTTTGAAAATTAAGCTCATCTAAAAAGGGAACTGATGAGTGCCAAGAGATCTCTGGGGACACATTGGTGGCCTGAAATATCACACTGGGGAAAACTGCTTCAAAACTGAGGAATATAGGACACTGATACCACAGAAATCAAAAAGAATGAAAACTCAGTATTATTTAAAACGAATCAATTTTCTGATGGAATAAATTAAAAAGATATAAATTTAAGTCAACAATGTTCAACAGCATTAACAATTACTATATAATGTGTTCATTCCAGGCAGACGTCATATGAGAACTAGGTTATAACCAATTTAATGATTAATGTACCATCACTTTCATTAAAACTAAAGTGAAACTAATGTCAGCTAGATTCAATCCAATGAATCCTGGTATCACAGGTTACAAAAGAAGTCCTGGAGAAAATAGGACTGAGGTCAAATCACATATAAGGAAGAAGAAACAGCACTTTCACATGAATGAGGGCTTGAGGACTGTAGTTAATGGTATAGGGCTAGAAATGCCATGTCTAAGAGTCTCAAACCTTTCGCAGTTCTGGCTTCAGAGAACATTTCAAAATTAAGAAAATGTACATAATTAGAAGCAACAAAAAGATCTAAAAGACTAGAAGTAATTTTGAATATTAATATGAACTAATTGGCTCATTACTTTGGCACATTATAGATAGTTGCATGTTCAGCCAGATGTTCAGACTAGATCTGGCATTTTTATCCACCTATCGAGACAAATGTTGATATTCAATGGTGTTAGACGTTTGTTGCAGGATTATTATTACTATTTATTAAATTTATTTGCCACCTAGCTCACTGTGGGACAATATAACATATTCCTGATACAGTTGACCTGTTGGTTTGATTTACCAAGTCTTTAGAATAATATAGAATGTTTTCAATTAATATTCAACAGCATTATTGAAAAATTGCTCTTTTATAGAATTTCATTTCAGGTATTGTTCAGGATAATAAAATATTGGTCAATATTATATAGACATTCATAGTAATTCTCACCAGGTTTGGTGACAGCAGTGACTGGAAGTAAAGGAGGACACCTGCAGTAGATATCTGTTCCAACCATCTCCTACTGGTCTCTTGTGTTTCCATTTCATACTCCTTGCCATTGTCAAACATTTGATTTAAGGCAGCCATTAATTGCTCGGAAAATGCACAAACTGTAGCTACTAGACTCTGGCAAAAGACCATGTCTCTCCTGAGCTGTATCTCACTATCTGAAAAAAGCATATTAGGAAAAATAGGTGAAAAATCATCTAAATTGATGAGAAAGTAAGTGTAGTCCTAAGCACTGATCTCGCTTTCTGGGCAAATTTCTAATAAGCACCAAACTATATCTATATCTATCTATCTATACACACATACACACACACGTTATTTTGATTGCACAAGCTGATGAAAGAAATGCCATGCTATCACTATATAGTAAGCTTGTAGAGTACAGGTACATCGTAAATGAATTTAATTATTAAATTATTCTACCTCATTATAGATTCAAAATGCTATTTGCTGTGGAATGTTGTTTAATTTAAATGTGTATGCTATAATACTTTTTTATTCTGCATATACATCTAACACATATCCACAACTGCCTTCTGTATTATAAATGATCTTTATGTCACATGGCAACTGCCTTCTGTATTATAAATGATCTTTATGTCACATTCTTATACGTGCTTTTGCTCAGAAAGTGAGAATCCAGTGAGATTCCTGGGTTTTACTCTCTCATGTATCTATAGAGGAAGTCCTTGTTAACAACCATTCATTAACTGTCCAGAGTTATGATGGTGCTGAATAAAGGGGGTTTACGACATGTCTTCACAGTTGTGGCTATCACTGCATCCCCACAGCATATGATCACAAGTCAGCTGCTTGGCAACTGGCTCACAATGGCTTGGTAACTGTCTTACAATGTCAAAGCATCCTGCAGTTATTTGATCACCATTTACAACCTTCACTGTCGGCTTCCAACAAACAAAATCAATGGGGAAGCCAGCAGAAAGTCACAAATGGTGATTATGTGACATTCTTGGTTAATGACAAAGAATAATTTGCTTAACAATAGCAAATGGAAGTGCTGGGATTTCTGTCACTAAGTGGTGCAGCCACATGACATCACATTGTGTCACTTAGGGGTATAAATTCTAGTCTCAATTGTCATTGTTAAACAAGGAGCATCTGTAAATGAATTTATACAAAAGCCTATATTTATCATCTGTTCCTCAAAAATAAGTTTTAAGTCCAGATGGTGTAACCTCATTAAGATCAGATTAATAATATCAATTACTAAATATTAAACTATTTTACTTACTTACTTATAAGTACTGATAGAAAGAATAGTTGTAGCTCAGAGTTGAACTGGACTCCTTGGTCTCTGACCTTGGTTGTTTTCTTACAGATGTTTCATTATCAAATTAGGTAACATTATCAGCATATTTATGATGTTACCTAGTTTGGTAGTGAAACATCTGAAACAAAACAATCAAACTCAGAGAGCACAAATGAAGACATTTGCAAAAGTTGATCAACAGCTTTAAAAAAAAAATTACCTGTGTATTCAAGAAGTGCCAGAAGGACTCTTGCTTTTACCTCTGGAAAAGAAAAATAGAAGAACCTGAAAAGATAAAATCATGTTTGCCACTCATGGAGAGTCCCTTTCTATTTAATACTAAATTTCTATTATTAAGCAGTATGTCTTTCAATCAATAGGCACAAGAACAAAAAGGATCTTCATATCTCTCCCTATTCAAAGTGACAAGGTTATCAATTAAATACAAAGACTATACATATAGAATAAAATATGTATTTATACCATCTAAAGAAAAACCAGAGAAAACAGTAGGTCAAGTAACATTACCAACAGCTTTGCCATCAAATGCCATTTATTTCATGGATAACTACAGTGCACAAAGAAAGAAACTGTTCAATGAAGGCTGGAATTTACCTTGATTGATATATTAACAAATTGCTGGAAGAATAAAAAAAATGATCTCAAGCTAGAAAAAGTTTGAAGCACTTATTCAAAACCAAGATCACCTATTATCGTATGTACAAATTATTATTAAAATATGAAAAGTTGTATGAAGTGAATGCAAAACTTCAAAGAAGTAATCATAGTATAACAATGGAAAGAGCTATGAAAAAAGTCAATAAAATGTAGTTCGAGTAATAATTTAAGGGAAAATAGGTATAAAATGTTTACAGTAATTTCATCAACAATTACCAAGATAGACAAATAAGGCAACAATAAATGTTGGAATCACTATAACAAAGAACATTTTATTATATATAGTGATCATGTAAAAAAATTCAAAAGTACTAGAAATTAATATTGAATTGAAATCATAAACTTTTATATCACATACCATTCCAGAAAACTTAAATGAAAAATACCACACTTCATTAAGATAGATGCTAAAAGCTCCAAGAACAAATTTGGTACAAAACTGTAAAAGAGAAACTTTATCAAAAAAGGGGGAAGGATGATTCTTTCTTGGTTTGTCAAGAGATGCTACTGGAATGGAAAGGGTCCAGATGGATTGTGGAACAGAGGGAACTAAAGCTATGGAAACTAGGAACTGGAACTGTATGATGCAAGACCAGAGAAAGATATCATGAAGATATCTGAGGCAGTGGATCCTGGAAATGAATGGTGGGCTGAAGATTGCTCTGCATGATATGAAGCCAATGATTACAGATAAGAACAGGCAGCTGCTGAGTAGATCAACTCCTTTAATCCTTACTGGACAAAGAGAATATGTGAGATTCCCCAATCTGCACACTATATCATTGAATCTAATGAGAACAACGCAAAGTAATAGTCTCCAGAGGATTGGAGAACTGGGATTAGCTCCATACTAGCTCCAGCCATCATTTTCACACTTCTTTTACATTTTGGAAATTGTCTATTAATTGCTTTAAAGAAATTAAATCCCTTCAAAATGACAAGGCTGGAAACACTGGGTGAGTTAGCATACATTACAGTTAAAATCTGTTTGTGTACAAATTCACATTTATGTTTATGTTCTCTCTCTCTCTCTCTCTCTCTCTCTCTCTCTCTCTCTCTCTCTCTCTCTCTCTCTCTCTCTCTCTTCTCCCACCTACCTATATCCATACACATAAATGCTTTGCATTAGGACAAATCAGCTAGCAATAGACACATAAATCTAAATCATATTTTCATACCATTCCAAAGAGACAATTAAAAAAAAATCTAAGAAAACAAACTAGACAAACAAACCAGAAAAGAATCTCTCCATCAGCCAACACCCAGATAAGCAGAAAACAATATCACCAAACAAGCAGAAGACAATACTCTAATCATGAAACTACCAAGAAAAAAACACAACCCAACAATACTGGAAGGGCAAGCTACTGTATATAAATGGAGTAATTTCCCACACTTACTTGCACTGATGATGATACCAAATTGGTTAATGAAACTTCAGAAAATCTAAAACATCTGAAAATTTTATATTTCAGAGCTTCTGTCTAAGAAGCACTCAACAAGAGCTGCTATAAATGAATTACTAACCTTCAACAAATTTTCGGATGCTTTGAGAAAGGTTTTGAACACTGCTGGGAAGATTCCAAGGATCTTGTTTAATATGACGCCTCAGTTTCTTTGGGCAGGTCACCTTAAGTTCAATTTCTTGCTGAAATTCTAGGCAAAACCAAAATTATTAATTTTGCTACAATATTTTTAGCTGATTGTAATACTCTTATAGCTATACGTCTTTCCAGTTGTACATTTGCAGAAGATTGCCATCCTAGCCTTGCAATACTGAACAACTCTACAAGTCTCCCTGGACTCCCATATTTAGGAGAGAATTCAGTTACACCTTATTTTCTAAATCAGTTTTGGGGTGGTGGATTGCATCCCCACTTTGTCAATATGGAATGGGCCAACAGGGTGCATCAAAAAACATTCAAGACACACACACACACACACACACACACACACACATTGCTTGAAGACATACTCATAAAAAGGGAGTAATGGGATAGAAAAAATGTGCCTGTATGTGAGAGAGTGCACTAACTAATTAAAGTTAGTTAGATACCCCATTAACAACATTAAACCATTATCTTCCATGCACATATAATCACCCTCATACACAGGAACATAGCGAAACACACATGCATATACACTTCCCTCCTTTCTTCCAGCAAAAAGGAGCAAAACAAACAAAGAGTAGCAGAGATTGCGGAGATTATGAAAAATATCTAGAAAAATGAAAAAAATCTGGAGAAAAGTAAAATTGAAAGTGCGAATGAGAATGGGAAAAAACACTGGCCAAACTCAGACTCCTGTTTAAAAAGTTTTATTCAAAATGTTAAATATTTACTTCATTTACTTGAGTATATCTTGCACAACACAATAAGAACCTATGCATTTCTTTACTTTTTTTCCTCACAATTCCTTCTGCCACAGTAATCTGTGCGCTAAAAAGGCCCATAAAATGCTGGAGGTTCTCTAAATATAATACAAAGTACATTTCTAATTTTTATATTGTGTTTTAAAGAAATGTTAACTATAAAGTAATATTGTTAATAAAAGTGCTAGAAACTATGCTTACTGTCATACTTAGCTCTGCAAAAATAATACCTTGAAAACTTCGACCAGGAGTAAAGAACTTGGTTTGCTCAAAAGCTCTTGCCACTGTTGGACCTTTTAACAGATGAATAATTGAATCTACCTGTTGGATTTAGAAATGATTGATAAATATTAAAAAGTTTATTCTGATAATCCTTTCAATCTGATTTAAAATACTATAGTATATGCTAGATCTAGTTGGGAAAATCTAGGCATTTGTTAGAAGGAACAATATAAACAGAGATGTGGGAGATCCACCATTATGTATTTTATTTGAATTCAACTGGGAAAACCTACCTCCAATTTTAGTCTTAGTAGACAAATCCAAAATGTCAAAACCAAACAATCAAACAAGATCTTTTAACAACTCAGTAAGCTTGTCTATGGAGAAAAAAATTAACCGCTCTGATGTTTTCTCAACCAGTGTCAGGTTTCAGTTGACTTTAGTTCCTTGCAGATATGAAATGTGATTTATTTGCCTTGGTTTAGTGTGCAGTGTAGATCTATCCAATTGAAAACTGTGATTATTCTTGGTTGTGATTTGTGAGCTATGGTTTATTCATAATTGCTGCTTAAATGAACCATAGCATAGTAAAAGCATAGTGGAAACCAGCATGGCTTACCTTATCCAAGGCTCCTTTTTTGCCTGTTCACTATGCTAGACAGTTCTAACTTTGCTCGCCTTGATTCTAATCTTATCCAATTCCTTCCCAATACTTTCATCTCTCTGTCACGTTGTGGGGCAGAAGAAAACTGAAATGAAAAAGCTTACCTGACCAAAAAGATGCTCCAAGCAACCATAAAGTTTATCCTGCTTATCATGAGAAATGCAGATACTCTGAGGAAGTTCATCACCTAATAAGACAATATTTGAAATCACACTGACTTTAGATATTCATATTCCATATTTGAATTCTCTTGATGTTGAAAAAGATCTAGAAATTGAACTGGAACACTAAGTTTACTACGAGAGTAGGGGTTTCCCCCCTCTTTTTGGAAAAAAGTAATTACTTTCAGTGTGATTTTCTTCATTTCACTCAAGTTCCTATTGCTTAACTGGCAGCTTCATTCCGATTTATAGTAGCATTCCATCTAGAGTATTTCATCCATTACCCTAAGTCTTTAGAGTGTTGCAGTGGGAAATAAAAAAATCAGATGTATGCCAGTAACAACATCCTTTGTTTTGTCCTCTTTCAATAGCCTATTGATGTTTGGAAAGATGAAGATTAAAAGGATTCTTTAAATATCCTGATTTTCAAGTATAATTTGTCTGCCCCACAGATATGAGTTAATGATAGGTAAATTAGTTTTATATGTCTCACTTATCCAGTTCAATTAAATAGAAATTAAGTTTCTGAATAAAGAAAATACTTGAGGATAAATGAAAGAAGGACATTATTTCCAACTTCATTACATATAGACATTAAGCTTGGGGGAATTAATATCTTTACTTCATTGCTGCTTAATTACTATATAATATTTTTGATGAGTGTTATGATGTGATTTTTTTGTGGTTGTAGTGTTTTATGACTTAATTTGTCATAAATGTGTAACTGTGACAGTACACAAGTTATACAAAATAAAATAAATGAACACAAGTTCACATACTTTGCCCTAAATAAGTATGTAAATATGCACACACAAACACATATTTGAAAAGCACCTGAATCCATTTCATCGCTATGAAAATAAGAACTACATTGGCTACTGCAAATACTGGTGAAAGAAGCAGTAGAATTCCGGTTGCTGTTGCAATCACTAAAAAGAAGAAAAATGTAAGAGTATAAAACCTTCAAGAATATACACTTTTTAAGGCATTTCTTTCAAATACTTTATTAGCATTATTTATACTATTAAACAAGGCATACAATAAGTTTTATTTGCCTCTTGGAGTAAAAAAACCATTAGTGCTTGTATATTTTTAAAGCCTTGCAATATAGTGCTAAAGGTAACAATTGAAAAGGGAAGTGGGTTTAAATTCACTGAAAATGTATTAACAGCTGAGACCTCTAAGAAAGGATAATATCATTCAAGAGAAAGGAATGGATGTGACAATGGGAAATTCATTCATATCAGTATATTGAATCAGACGGTATAAATTTGGCATGTTTGCCTCAAAGTACACATTAAAAAACCCTTTACTTGGAAATAAGCACAAATGGGAAAAGATTTTCTATATGTATGTATGTATGCATGTATTACTTAATAACACTTTAACAGAATTTTAAAAATTGTTAACATTGGCCACCTAATAAGAAGGAAGGACTCACTGGAGAAGGGCCTAATGCTGGGAAAGATTGATGGCAATAGAAGAAGGGGACGACAGAGAATGAGATGGCTTGATGGAGTCACTGAAGCAGTAGGTGTGAACTTAAATGGACTCCAGAAGATGGTAGAGGACAGGAAGACCTGGAGGAACGTTGTCCATAGGGTCGCGATGGGTCGGACATGACTTCGCAATTAACAACAATTAACAACAACATTGTATCATTATACACAGTAAAATTATAAATTTGGTGTTTATTATTATATTAACTGATACATTACCTATATGAATCCCGGTTGCTTATAGTGTCATGACCAGAATCTTCCTGATCATCACTTACATTGAAGCATACTTTTTTCCCATTGCGTTCTCCTTTTTCGTTATCACTGTCTGTTGACATTAACAATTCATGGTTTTTATTTTGTGAACTTGGAGAATATGTTATTGAAGAGAGAAGGCTGAAATTTATAAATTTAATAGAGGTAATTAAAAATAGTGCATACCGCTAATTTGTATGAAAATTTGTAAATGCAGACACTGCATACTCTTAAAACGGAAGCAGGAATTTAACATGGCTAATCTCATATACCAGCCAATCATGAATTACTCTATCTAAATATTGTTCACACATACAGCTTTACTGAAAATAAAGTTTAAAGTTTTAAACTAAAACAAGAGTCTGTTACAACTGGAAGAAATTCAAAAGACCAGAGGTACTTCTATTTCTTATTAGAGTTGTCTTAATGAAATCAATGGAGTTATTGGCTTGATTTGTTTGAAAAAGTATTTGTCCAACCCACAAATGTCAAGTATTGAGTATGAAAAGGCAGCATAGAAAATGTGTTATCACTGACTTATGTTTCTCCAAGAAAAATCCAAATGTAATCTAAAGCTATAATTCTAGAAAACTAATATGTGTATTAATACCCCAGTCCATAAAGATATAACCCTTAGGATTACTTACTCATCTATTTGAAATACACAATTTTCCACCTCCTTTAATGTACTTTGTAATTTGCATAATAGTTTCTCATAGACGTCTTGTTTTTCTAAATCTTCTTCTTTTAACAGGTATCTTAAACCATGGCCATCCTGTTGACCTAATGAGTGACCTGATGGAGCGGCCATGGTTGTTATAGTATGTTGTACATAAACCATGGGATTCAGTTTACCTAGAGGAAGTATATTGCATAAAATGCTGTATTTAGATTCACTAAAACTCAATTTAAGTGCAAAAAAAAAATCCAACTCACTTTCATAAATCCAATTAATAATTAATTTGTACACATTCAGAACACAAGCAAAACATGATGCTCAAAATCCACACTTGTGTTGAAATTAATTAATTCACTTTTACAAGCATAATTCACTTATTAACATTATCCCATAAGCTAATGAAACAAGATAATCTGAATTAAAATAGAAATAATTAAACAATATAAATACTGAAAAAAACATGAATTCTTGAAATAATTCTTTTTTCTCCATACTTTAGCAAAAACTAGAGACAGAAATAGATAGGCTGACATAGACATGCAAATTATGATTATTTCCCAGCTGACAGGAGAGTAAAATTAAGCAAACGAACAATGCCGTCAACACTCCTCTTTTCGTGATTTTCAATGACTACTTCAAAAAAAAATGTTCCACTTATTTAGCAAAGATGGCACTCACTTTAAATAGGACACATTCTCTGATGAAAAAAATAGCTGAATCAGATAAACATCTGCAGCTTCCTGTTATTACAATCATCCTGTGACCATTTAATTATTTGAGGAAGAAGAAATAAGCAGTAATTCAGATGAATCACAAAATAAAAATCCTTCAATTAATAGTGCTAATAGAGTAAATTTGGTTCCAATAAATATATAAAATTAAATGGAAAACCATATGTATGGATGTGGCTTGGCTCTGTTTATAAGTCTGCAATTACCACTACACCAAACTAGGCATTATGCAGTGCCAAAGTGGCAATTTCCCATATTATATTTTTTTCTCTTTCCCAAAGAAGAAAACGCTAATGAGCTAGAAAGTTTTGGAATTCCTCCAAAGAACTGTAGCTATTGCAGTCACTCTCTGCTATTTGCGCTTTAAGAGGGAGCACCAGACATCCCTGCATGGAGAAAAACAAGGCAATCTCAAGGAGAAATACTCTGCTGAACAGATTCCGCTCTTCATCATTTTCTCTGAGAAAAACAAGCATGAATGAAAAGTAGAAAAGGCAGGTGAAAGGGGGCCAATGATAGTATTTGGTTTATAAAGCAAGAACAGTCCAAAATCATTTTTCCTTGAATAGAACCAAAAGTTCTTCTTTACCCTTAATAATGGCATCAGTTAAGACATTCTATACCTCCAAATTAACCCAATCTCTTCATTTCTTGTCATGCTAGGAAAGAAACAAGTTTTCAAAGATAGACATTGCAGTTTACCTTGCTCCATATGTCTGTTTTCTTTTTCATGTGAAAAATGTTTCCTGCTATCTAGTTGAACACCAAAGGCACTGCCAAGTGAGGTTGACGTTTTAGGATATGAGACTTCCATAACATTGATATGGCAGTTAGTCGGACAGAAATCACTGCTGTGCAGTGGTGAGATTTTTGACTTAGCTTGCTTGAAGGTAGGCCAAGCTCGATTTTTTAGGACTCGTGAAAACTACAGGTAAATCCAAAAGGGAAATGTTATATAAATCCAAAGATTCCAGTTTGAATTACACAATAACTTTAACAATTCAGTTTTTAGATGTGAGAAAATGTATTGTTTCAAACTCTTATTTTTGCACATAGTTTCTTTTTCCACAACATAGAACGCTGCACACAAAATTGTATTTCTGCATCAAAATAACTGCGAATAGCACACCTGTCAAGTTAAAGATAATGTCAGTTACAAAGAATGAAAAGCAGCATCCACAAAACGACTTTGAACATATTCTATGTTTTGATAAACACAAATTATACTCACTTTCCAGATCATATAATTGTAAGAGTGAGTTACACATTTCATTTCCAAAAGGGAAAAAAATAACCAATCATTGATCTGTTATTTCTATTCTCATTTGATATAAAAATTTGATTTGTTTTAATCTGAATATTCTATAGCCCATGGAATTGCAAAGGTAATTAAATTGATGCTGTAGTAATAAGGTAATAATAAAAAGCCATTGCATAATTATTTATAAATTTCAAACTTTTACACTGAAACTAACAGCTCAGTTAAAGCATTCTCAACAATCTATTTCCACCTGAAAGATAAAGACAAAACTATCCTTAGAATAAAACATATTCCAACAGCCACTCAAATAGAAAATGTTCTGAAAATAATAATTGTGCATCATGTTCATAGATTCTCAAAGATCTTATCCAAGCAAATGGGGAATATGTGGGTTTATAACTTTAGATTTGGTAAATATGTCTACCTTCCCCGAATGGTTGTACCAGTGTACTAGTTCCTGGTCCAAAATGCTCTTGCTATTCTTGTCCTGGACATTGCATATATTATTAATTTTTTTCTACAATACACCAGCAATAAATGAAAAATACTTTGTCTATTATAGAAATTTTAATTGCACAGGAATCACAAAAACATAAGGCCAGTTTGTTGCTATTTTTTTTCTTCTCATGTCATCCTGTTCCATTTAACATGTACACTCTCAGAATCTACTTTGCAGAATTAGAAACCTTCCCAAGCAATTTTGAAGTATACCTTATCATGAAAATATTACCTATATACCATCTATATATTTACTTTGATTCTACATATTTACAGTATATGTAATTGTTTACCCATACTAAGTTCTAGTTGAATATTTTCACCATTTCTTCTAAGCAAATTTACAACCTTTACCTTTTTATAACTTGTAATCCTTCTGCAAATGTGCTCTATTTTTTCAGTGCAAATGGAACTGAATTTGCTCTGAAGATTGGTAGGAATTACTTCATGTATACTATTTAAGCTGCTACAGTTTTGCACAAATTGCTCGTCACTTTTTGCTAGAGCTTCAAGGATCTATAAGTAGGACAAAAGTAATTATTTAAAGGTTATTAATTCTCATAGCACAGCCCTAATATATGTATCCATCCTAATGTATTTGTCATGTATTTAATATTTATTTTTTTCTTCATTAGGTTCATATTGATATTTCCCAATACTAATATTTGTGAAACTAACTGCTCCAATTATTATGGCTTAAATAAAAAAACCAGACAACTCATTTATCAAGCAGTTTTCAGATTTGGACTTTGAGAGAAAGTGAAATTCTTGGATTAATTAAGACTCCTGTGAGCAACGGCAGAATCATTCTGTCTTCTAGGCAGTAACATGTCTGTGCATTGTGAACTCAAGGTGTATCAAGGGGCAAGGCATTGAACCCACTGAAGAGAAACAGGCAATAGAACTGGAGAGAATACCCGTAGAAAGAGGGAGGAACATCTAAGGATATAGCAAGTACAGGTAGAATCAGGGAGGAAGATCTGCACAATATATTGGATAGTGGAAGTAACTGAGCTTTATTAGAAAAGACAGTCAGCTTGTAGAAACACGACCAAGGTGCTGGATATCTAGGCATTTCCAAGAAAATGATTTGTCCTTCTTTCCATCCTCCTCTCTAATTCAGCAAAAAGCTGTCTATAAAAGGAGTTAACAGAACAAGCAATTATTATGTATAGGAAATAGGCAGATAACGGGTGGAGCAACTGAAACAGAGTTGCAAAAACCTCTGTATATACTATGATGTATGATATATTATACAAACATTTGATTCTTAAGCTAAGACCATTTATATTAGAAATATAAGCAAATAGCTTTTACTTCAACTCTAACAATATAAATCAATTCAGCTGGCCAAGCACTGTATATGCATGTCCAATTAGTCCTGTACATATTCCATCCTTAGATACATTCCACAAGGAATCTCTTTAAAAACAAGTAAGATTTCATCCAATATCATACTTGCAGGAAAGAGTTTAGAAAAGTAGATTTCCCCATCTCCTCCTTTCCTCAGCATCATCCAAAGGTCTACATAGGAGACAAGCCAGTGTGGCACTTTCCAAAGTTAGGGAGCAAGGAGATGGCAGCTGCAGCAACAATGCCTAGCGTCACTTTGGAGAGTGAGATGGGTAGCATATAAATTTAATAAAGAAATGAAATAAAGAAATGAAAGGTGCACAGTAACAACAATGGCAAGAAGATAGAGGCAACATCACAGTGCACTGAGGATGGAGGGAAGAAGAAGCAGTAGTTGTATATATTGTTACAGACTAGCAGTAGAATAACATTTTGGAGTAAGGACAAATTTGTTAAGTCTGTGTTGAAGTGATAATATTTCATGGTTTTCAAATTATTAGAAAAAAGAATAACTGCATTGATGAGCCATTGAATGGCTAATCAAATATCAAATGTAAAGAGATCCTCTTACAATGCCATATAGAGACTGAAATAACTAAAGAACTGACAATCTCTACTGATGACATGTACTATAGATACATCACTATTACTGCCAGCAAGCTAATCAAATAATGGACTTAATATTGAGAGAAAGAAAAAGAGGTAAGACTTTTCCTTTGTGTGAAATGAAATCCTGTACCAATTAGGGAAGAATATTATCTGCATACAATAATATAATAATATGGTCTTTCTGTGATGATTTTGATAACATGTAGACAAAGGGAGGGGGGAAGAGGTATTTTGTTTTGTTTAGCATCTTAATTCCCTTGACCTGATCTATATTTAGAGCATTAATATTTGATCATAATAACACCTTTGAGATAATTAAATGTATCTTTTTCCTTCTACCACCATAAAATCTAATCCTCCTTGTTTATTAGATAAATTATTTATAGTTGTGTTGTTCTGAACAATTAGTAAACATCAGATTAGGAATTCTTAATATATAGAAGAACTGCAAATCTTTTTTGTAACCAACCATATTCTTCCACCTTTGTTTTGCAAAATGATATGATAATTCTTAAATCCTACTATTAAAATAATTCTTAATAATAATTCTTAAAACTACTATTAAAATACAATAGGGAGATGAAATATTGTAGCTCATAATTTTGGGAAATAAAAGAAAAGTTTCAGGACTAATTGGATGCTTAGCCTCTTTTGCATTTATCATTTATCATGGTTTGAATTTAGTAGATAACGATTATTCATAATCTTAAATAAACACCAAAAGTGCACAAATCACTGATTTGAAATAAAATTATTATAATTTTCAATTTTCTTCAATAAGAACATACAAAGTACATACAAACATACATGTTTTATGCATCATACCTTTGCAGTCAGACTGAAAAAGCCTTTTGGTTCAATCATTTTCTCTAAAACATGGCATTTTATTCCAGCAGTGCTATCATACTCGTAAACAACACCATATTCCAGATGAACATTATCAACAGTGAGGCAGACATGATCCTTTCTTCCATCAATTATTGCCATAGTATTAAATTTATCAATTGCTTCTAAAAACAAAAAAAATCAATGTATTATATAGACTAATTACTATAGACTACCTCTGAAACACATATTATTTATTGCAGAGTCATTTAAGAAATTATTATGATCAAAAATTTAGACCTTCCTTGTGATTGTCTACTGGCTAACTAGTGCAACATAATTTCTAAGATTCCCAATGAATTCAAAAACAAAGTCATAGATATCTAAGGTATCACAGTATTTCTTCATTCCTTACTTTACTAGTTGCTAATTCATGTAATTGACAAAAGTAATATCTGAAGAACTCATGCATTTCTATATGGTTTGCATCCCAACTTTGCTGGTATGTTTGCTCACTTCAAGAGAGATGTGTAATCTCCTTGTTTTGCTCTGGAATGCTATATTTGCTTTTAATACTTTAAGAAATGGTCAAACTTTTATTGTGATTAATAATAAGATAGAAATAATCCCACCTTCAACTTTGTAATTAAATGTATCTCCTCCATCCTCACCCAGTGGTTTAGCATTTGTTTTCTGAAAATCCTCCTGAGCACTGTCAATGTTGTTATATATCCATTGAATAGAATCTTGCTGTAGAATAACAAATAATTTATAAGCCTCATTAACAATTTAATACATATAGGTTTTGGAAAACAAAAAAAGTTTAGATTTAATTTGCATTTTATTTCCATGAGGGAAGAAAGGACTGCTGCTAGAAACAGAACAGGGTTTATTTGTTTGTTGCTGAAGTCCATGGTTCATTTTTTAATTGATCATATGAAGCTGTATCTTAGAGAATAGTTTAAAAAAGTTATTTAATTTATATAACGAGGGAAAAATCAAATACTGATTTACAAAATTATTCTTTTCCCCACCCACACAATTGTATTTTGACAGATTTTAAAATATATAATCTAAAGAGAAATGTGGATAAAATGAGGCTCAAGCACCAATGTCAAGTATTACTGTTTTTTTCATAACTGCATCATTGAAATATATTCCCTCTCAATATAATTGAAACTATATTTATGAATAGTTCTAAATAATTTTTATTCAACAGATTAATATAGAAAAGACTTACAGAACCTAATACAGCCACATACAATGAAGTATCCTTGTATTTTCTCTTGGGTTTAGCTTTTATCTCACAACAATTTGTTATGAAACATATCAACAGAAATTGTTTGATAATAATTAAAAGGGGCTAATCAAATAGTGTGAAATAGGACTGTATTTTAATCTTAGTGTTGCCCATTTGTTTAATAGTAAGAACTAAACAGCAGGATTTATGCATCAGTGAAAGCTATGACTGGTCCCCTAACTCTTTATCCGGTTCTCTGTTTGTAAAAGAGAGTCATTTTGGTGTAGGTATTAAGGTGCTTACCTAGAAACCAAGAGACTGAGTTCTGGTCTTGTCTTAGGCATGAAAAACCAGCTGAGTAACTTTGGACCAGTCACTCACTCTCAGTCCGACCCACTTCACAGGGAAAATAGGAGGAACTTAAGTTACTTAAAAAATAATAAAATGGGATCAAAATCAAATAAATAAATAAGAACAATCATGGTGGTCCATTCAGAAGTCCATCGTTAATCAGGAAGACCTTAGAGTCATTCTCAATAATATTAGTTATTCAGAGCATAAAAGGTTTTGTTTAAGATGGATATTCAAACCCTTCCCTGGACGTTTTCCATTTTAGTTTTGTCTTTGATATTCTCAGGAAAGGTTTGTTTGTTAAATTTATATGTGATTCTGAGCAGCTGTCAAACAAACTTAATGCTAGGTAAAATGCCTTTATGTTTTATTTTTATTTCCACCCTGCACATATAATAACAGGATCTCCATTATTTTCACTTGCAGATTGTACCCGAGTAATGGAAAAGAGCAAAATGTCCAAGGATCCCTACATTTAATTGTGAATGAAGCCCCATACCTTTTCAATATGAACCATGTGAAAGTAAAAAAAAAAACAACCTATTCCATCCATTCATGGTGAAGTGTTATATTGATTATATTTTTCCAAGATAGATAATAGATAATAGTTATGGGCCACTAAAATAAAAACAAGGATTATATAATTATATAATGAACAAAATAATTAGCATTACATGCATTGGACGTCTGTATTTCCTGCAGGCTGTCACATGGGCAATAACACTTGCATGTGTTTCTTTGCTGACATTAATTCCATTCACTTTGATTATGCACTGTCCAGGATGAAGCCCAGCAGTAGCTGCCACAGTTCCTTTAAAATAGTTAACAGATTAAGTTAGAAATATACTTGGAAATGGGGAAAAGCCATATTACATCTGATTTTAGTGCCATTTCTTTTCAATTCCAAATTATATTAAATTGAATCAACATTACATTGTTAAAGACCACATAGAAATACTTTACTCTGAAGCACTGAACATCAGGTAAGAAAAAAAAATATTCAGTTTTCCTAGGGGCTATCCCAAATATGTAATTGTCCAATCTCTAAAAGTCAGGATACAAACATTGCATTTTGTTGGTTCACTCCCCTAGATGAGGAAGGAAAGCATAATCATATTTTAAGGATTTATTCTATAAAAAATTAATGTGATTAATTATGGACTGCAAACAATACACTGAATAAGGTTTAACCAGGATAAATTCACCAAAGATGAATTTACAGCATTGGATCCCATGAAAGCAGTTATTAAAAAAAAAACCAAATGCTATGGCACACTAAATTACCATATTAGAACCTTATTCCTTTCTCATGTTAAATTAAACAGTTTTCCCCCACGCATAAGCACATCTTCCTCCTTACAGAATTTCCTACAAGAGGTGAAAATTTTTAAAGCCTTATTTTGCTAATTTCTGTTATATGAAAATATGCCCTGTCTTTTCATACTCAAAGGATATCTCAAGATATTACAGTTTCCTATCACGGAAATATTTTACTTAAATACTCATGGCTTTCATAAAGAAATATACTCTACAAGGTATATCTCACTGTATTTTGCCTTTACAAAACACATAAGTAGAATGAAAAGCAAGGATAAATTAACCCTTAAGCCAAATATCCATCTTATCACATGTTCTTCCTGGACAAGATCAGATCAACATACGTTTGTAGTTATAGTAAAGGTATTATCTTTATTATTGATTGTATAAGTATCTAATTCATTAAGTGGCTATATATAACAATAGAAATCATTACTAACTCTTTATAAGTAAATTCAGAATCATGCATCAAATTCTGGATACTCCTCAAGCCTCAATCTCAAGATTCTCTGTGTTTGTGTCTGTATTCCATTTGGCCAAATATTCATAAATGCAGGCCAATTCATACCTTTTCCAACAGCATGAACAACAGAAGGGCCAAAGCCTCGAATCTGGAATCCAAGACCATCCACAGAATCAGGAATCTTAACTGTCCTTTAAGCAAGATAAACCTCACAATGAAGCATCTAATACCAACATTTCTGTTTATGCCTCAAATTTCACATAAGATTAAAATAATATAATGTACTTAATTTTTTAAAAATAAAGCTTACATTCGGTGGAAAAAATAAGCATTGCTTATAACATAAGCTAGCAAGAAACTTTAAAATAACCTTCAGTTCAGTGAGGTTGCTTCTAAAAACCTGGATCATAGCTTTAAACATATTGTTAGCTATAGACGGACCTGGCTTAATGACTGCCCTGTTTTGAATGCATTCATAACTACAACAGCACTGATAAACTTTATGACCAATCCTCAAATACAATTGCCGCAGCTTCACGCGGTCACATGATCACCATTTACACATTTCATAAACAGATTCTGACAAGCAGAGTCACTGCAAAAGCTGGCAATAAAATTGCAATTACAGTCATGTCATATCCTACTTAACAACTGGTGGTGATTCACTTAACAACTGAATGGGAAGTGATATTGTAAGTCCATCAAGATCAAGTGACATTTCATTTAGTGACTGCATCTCTTAGCAATCAAGTTGCCAATCCCAATTGTGATTGCTAAGCAAGAACTATCTGTCTTCATTCTGAACAAAAATTGGCATATCAAGCAAAAAGATAAGTAAATGCTATTTCTACATAATATGCTAACCAAAATTAATAGAATGATAAATGTAATAATTTATTGATATTTGGTATTATTGATTAATGGCAAAAAATATTACATAAATATATCAATGCCAGCCACTCTTCAGATGTGCTAGACTTTACCACATTGATTAAAAAGAGTGATCATTAAAATCCAGAGAGAGCCAAATTGTGGAAGACAATTTTATACCAATAACTTAAATTTAAATTTAAATTCAACACTAGTTTTTCCATCCAATGAATTTATTCAGAACGACAGGAGGAAGAAAAAGCCATTCTGTCTTACTTGTTTGGCACATGGGACAGCATCTCCTGCACTACTCCCAGGCTACGAAATGCATTCTTTGGAGTTGCATTTAAATCTCATTCAGTGAACAGCTAAGATGTATTTCTTTTGTTGAGCTTTTAATTACTGACATTTCTGAATTGGTTCTAACTTACATAAAGCAAACATTCAAAAATATACTTTGCATTTTATTTATGTTTAATCCCCTTGAGTGCATAAAATTGTGGGGAAAGGAAGGATATTATCAGTAAAATATATAAAATTTAGCAAAACGATTTCTAACATAATAACATTTATACATATGCTCTTGTAACCTATTTTGGTTACTATTTTTATAATTTCTAAAACCAAAGAAACAACTTACTCCCTTGGTTTTGTGCTCACAAGTACCCTGAGGGGCTTTTTAGTGTTTAAACATGCTTTCAGAAAACTATCCACTTCAGTGAAAGGCCTTAGAAAAACTAGGTCACCATTAATGGCAAAGATCTTTTTCCCAATTTCCAGACCTGCCACCTAGATAAGAAAGCAAAATACATATATAATCAATTAGCATCACAACATCAGTGATCCATCATTATTATTATTTACATGCACAAAAGGAACAGCTTCAAACATTTCCCATATACCTATATTTACAATTGTGGAATTTATATAACCTTACAGAAAACACCTTTATGGAAAAAAAAACCCTAATCCTGGCACTTCACTATTATTGGAAAAATCTCCTGTATTTGTAATATTTTGTTATTTCTAAGATTTTTTTCCAAACTTGACAGCTTAAAGTTTAAATTACTGGTGGATTAAATAGATTCACTTATCTATCTACCAATACAACTTCATTTGGGAAAATGCATAAGAAAATGTATGACTTAAATTAATAGTAAGTTTGTAGATAAAGATTTTTTTTGTTGTTTTTTTGGCTCAATAATGTGTTCTTTTTTTAAACTATTCTATGCTTTCAGCAGATCAAGTATAAGAAATTGTTTTCCCTCAGATGCAGAAGAGGTTGGTGCTTGCTCTTTTGTCAAATCTGGGTCTATAAGGCTCAGACAATCCCTAACTTTCTTGCTTCCCAGAAGACAATTAAGATCTGGCTTTTCCTTCGGGCATTGGGTAAAGAGGGTGGTGAATCTAGCATTTGTAATTCTGTAATGAGATTATTATGGCACTTGCTTGAAAGGTTTTGCAATTGTTTTTGTCTTTTGTTATCTAATTGTTACCTGTGCAGTTTTTTTAAAATAATAAGAGGTTAACAATTTTTCATGATATGCCTACATAGAGTTCTTTCAGGAAATATAAAAGGCTTTAGATGTTGTAAGAAGAGACAGTTCTTTATTAGACATGTAACTAAAAACCTTAAGTTCTTTTTCCTAATAAGGAACTCAGATTCTTCCACATACATTTCTTATGAAGAAGATTGGTAGATCATTTCTGTATTGTTAGTAACCCAATATCTGCTAGGAAAATGGTGAGTTTGATTAATAGGCCTTCAAAATATAGACTGGAACAACAAATTATTAATTCAAAATAATGTTTTAATAGTGTTAATTTAATATTCTAGCAATCACATGAAATGTATTCATTTTAATAGTCCTACTAAAGACTATCCAGATATGGCAAGGCATATTTTTTAATATTATTGGTGGACCAGATAATCCCGAATGAACATTTTAATAAGTATTCTTTGCTAGGCTACAACCGACCCCTAAGCAACATTAATTTATTGTACATGGAAACTCTTACATGCTTATCCATGAACCTACTTTTAAGTAACTATGTGTAAAATTGTATTGCACAAATATATTTCTTATTCTGCAAAAATGATTCTCAAAGTTCTACATCTAGGTAACCTTAAAAAAATCACCTGCCATATATAGACATATATACAGCAATTTTCTCAGCTCTCTTAATCTTCACACACCTAATAATTCTATACAGTTCTTTATAATTCTTCCCCTAAATGTGAAGAGTAATGTTTCTTTCAATAACGTTAAGATATCAAAGTTCACACTTTTAGGAAATTACAGATGTTGACTGTTAGTTTAAACACCAAGAAGGTGTAAATAGCTGATAATAATTCTCTGTACAGCACTCCCAAGCACTATTTTTTGCAGCCCCTAAAAAGCCATTCTAATCACTGATGCTGAAAAATCAGGAGCACACGTATTCATATTTTGAGGTAGAAATCGTGAGAAAAATATAATGTAATCCCCAAGTAGGTTGAACATAGTTTAAAAGAAAACATTAAAACTCTGATGCGAAAAACTGAAAATGCCAGCACTGCTAGGTATCAGGGTCATATCCGGTGTTAGCCATAACTGGATTTGCTACTCTGAAATTTTAAAAAAAGAAAAACAGTTTGGCTTAATTGCAATGTGTGAAATCATCCATATTGTATGTTTTTAATTTCTACATGATAAAGTAATACAAATACTTACATTTTATAAATGCTCTGGGGTATTCCTTAATAATTTACACACACACAAATCAATTAAAATTATTGAAGTAAAACTTTATAATTGAAGTAATTGTCAAAACACATGTGAACTTTTCTATGAGCAGAAATGTATTAATTGGGACAGTTATGAATAAGGCTGTATTACCTCAGCATTTGAGCCCTTTTCTACTGTTTTAACTATTGGTGCTTTGTTTTTGTCTTCCAAACCAAAACCATAAGTTCCATCACTTGATCTGATCTGAAAAAAGAAAACTTTTAAAATCAATATGCTAAATAAGTATGGCTGACAGGGAACTGTTATTACTATATGACTGTTACCACTGTGAACATTATATCTGGCAAATATATTCATCTGCAAAAGCTGTGACATTAATCATATGCATTTATTTGAGCATTGTATGAATATTTAATCAATACAGACTAACTTTGGACTTTATAAAGTACCTATATGTTGTACTCCAATTCCTCATAAAACTGAAGACTACAAAAAACATAGCAAGAGTCAGAACAGCAAGAGAGGTCTAGGGGATTTAAGCTGATGGACAATAGCGTGGATCTGAAAAAAACTATAAATTACAACATTGTCTATCTGCAAATAATAGGAGTTAGCAGCATCAAAATCAAACATGCAAACAAACATACATACTCTATTTTTAAAATACTTACCAACAATGATTTTGCGATTACATTTTCCACTACTTTTAAGTCATGCTTCATAAGTCTGTGTTTCATGTTGGAGCCTTCCATTTCTTCATCCGCAAAAAAACGAAATAGAAGTGGTTCATCTTTGAATTCACTTTTTTCCAGCACTATATGACAGAAAAAGGTTAATATTTGTATATCACTTATAGAACTATTGATTTATAAGTCAGTTAAAATTTTATTCAGTATATGATTTATTAAATAACTGCATCTTCGAATCCAAATTGAGCTGTCTGATAAATTTCTTCTTTTTTATTAGTAATTGCCATTTCTGTGAAAAGAAGGAACTACATCTCAGAAACAATTATTTTCTATTAATGTACCATGTATTATGGAATATTTTCCTTCCTGAACTTAGAGCAGCACCCATTCTGATGACATTGTAAAAACTGGTTCAAATGAGGTTTTTCAGAAAGTGTCTGTAGAATGAAGCATCATTATATTTGGCTTTATTAAACTATAGATGACTACTTTTTATTGCATTTAATGTAGTTTTATTATACTACTATGTTATTTTTTTATCTTGTTAATTCTAGCTGTCTTTAAGGATTATGATATATAAAACTAATAAATAAATAAGAAAGTAGATCTTTGTAGCATTGTATTTTTCACAGCTATTAGCAAGTAATTTTATAAAGAAAACAGTAGCATTTTATGATTAGCAAGAATGGATGACAGTACCTATCTGTAATCTGCACAAGTATTTTAAGGAGATTCTTAATTAGATAGCACTTTTTAAAGGTATATATCACAGAACAAAGTTCTAGTAACAAAACAATAAATGCTACATACTGCATATCCTAGGGAAATTATCACAGTATTGATATCAGATTCTAAAGTTATAATCTTTATATTAAAAACATTTTTAAAAACTTATATAAATTTATAGTTTACCATGATGCATAAATCCATTGTCACAAAGTGCTATTCCAAAGATCATTGCTTCTTCTCTTGTTCTGCAATCCCCCTGCAAATAATATGCTTATTTAATATAAAAAATAACCATGGACATTACTTAAAATAATTTCTATATTATCTTGGCTTATACATGCCCACTATTTTAATTTTGGAACACAACTGATAATAAATTTATGATTTAATACTTGGTATTGGTATTACTTTGGTAATAAAATAAAACATATTTGTATAATATAATCTATTTTTAAAAAAAAATGGGTAGATAAATAGAAGAATGCTTAATACTTTAAAATTCTTCAAAAGATACCAGGACTTTAACAATTGGTCAATAATACCAATTATTTATATATTAACAAATATATAAAAGCAAAATTATATGAAATATAAAATATTAATTTCTAATGGCAATTTATTTACATTTCATGCTACTAATCAAATTTATATACTTCAGAGCACTGCCCTACCTGTGCAATTAGCCAGTCTATCATTTTATTAGCCATTATGACAGATTTGTAGGTTCTTAAATGGTAATCTTTATCTCTGAGAAGAAAACATAAAATAGTTCATCCTCAAAATATATATTTTAAAGCAGCTGAGCACTCCATACATTATACCTCAAATATAATCTAAGTAATTCCTTAATCTATTTAAAATTATTTCTATTTGAATCACTTTGTAATAATAATGTTTTATTTTAGTTACATTTTTGGGTATTTTAGGCAACGTTTGAAGTGTATTACAAAAATTAAACTTCCCATATGAGGGCAATTTGGAAATAAACCACCATTTGGTTATCAATGACAGACACTCGCAGATACAGAACTTTTATTATACACATTACACAGTTTACTTTTTCTCCTCTTTCCACATATAAACATTCATACAGACACAAAACACAAAATTTAAAGTCCTATTAAGGAAATTTGAAATAGTAATACATCTTTAATATCCTTAATCGGCTGATTAATTAGATTTATATCCTGCCTTTATTGCACACATTCAAGCTGGCTTATCTGGAATCTCCCTTGATTTTATCCCTATAGTACAGTGGTTCTCAACCTGTGGGTCGGGACCCCATTTGGGGCCGAACGACCATTTCATGGGGGTCGCCAAACAACGCAGTCCACCATTTTTTTCCCCTTTTCCTTAGCTGTGCTACTCCCTTTTATTCTATTGGCTTTTGAAAGCCAATAGAATAGACTCTCTTGAATAGAGTCTAATTCTATTGGCTTTCAAAAGCCAATAGGAATTGTCCAGGCTCTGCCCTGCTGATCCCGCCAAAAGTCCCATTCTGCAAACGGTGCTGCACTAGTTGAGTAGTCCTCGACTTACAACCGGTTGGGGGGTCACGGCTTTAAAAAGGTTGAGAACCACTGCTATAGTAGGTCTATAAAATAGGATGGACTAAGAGAGATGATGATTACTCCAAAGTCAAAGGCCTGATATGCACTTAAAGCAAGAGAGCTCTTCAGTTAGAACAATCCTTTGCTTTAATATTTTTATATCATAACTCTACTCTCAGTATTCGTTGGAGCTGAGCAACAATATCAAGTCAGGGTTATACCTAAAAAAAGAGAGAAAGCAAAAATGTGCATTTCCAATCTGAATCTGGAAAGGCAACTGCTGCCTGTTGTTTTATCATTAAAATTTAATGATGACTATTTTACTTTGCAATATTTTTGCTTAAATTAATTCATGATATTTTATAATGTCATAAATTGTCATAAATGTCCTTTTATTTCTGACATTTTGCAGTTTGAGAATTGCTTGTTACTTGTTTATATTGATTTTATGTGGTACATTAAAAAGTACTATTTATGTTTTGTTTGGGTTAAGTTGTACGTGCATAATTTGTGGAAGGAAAAAGCAACTGGGTTATTTTACTACCAGAAACATGTATGGATAAAGTAACAGAATCTGCCTCCAAATGGGGTAAAAGGGGCTAGGAATTAGAAGGCATGTCTATCTTGTAGTAATCACAATGCTAGAACACATTGCCTCTCAAAGTCTGTTTTGCCCCTTCCAGACTAATCATTAATATTTTAAGTAAACAAATAAATACAAGTAAAAGATACATGATATTATATATACATATACTTACATGTACACAAACTTGCATTTGTGTCCTAAACAATTATTTAAAAGTTGATAGTTTGATGAAGCAGTTATTTATATATAGCAAGCAGAAATCTAGTAGTTGAAGTCGACTTTACTGCTAAAAAGCCTGCTGGCAGTCATAAAACACAAAACTTTTTCTGTGATAACTTCATCTTTTAGAATTTTTTTTCATAGGAAACATTCTTTACTTCCTTCTCTAACTATTGTATGTGGTCCTTAAAGACCAGAATGTTTGAATATTTTTAAGAAATAGGTCAACAGTTGAATATTTAAAGAATGTTAATTTAGTTTTAGCAGATTTAAGATTGAAATCGATATATCAAAATGTTCCATTTGAATTTATTGGATGTCCGAAAGAATGTATTTGAAAAGAGATCGTCTGTTAACACTGCAAAACATTTGATGGAGTATTAAATCATGATTTAGTGCTGTGAGTTATTGATATCTTTTTGGAACAATATTTTAATACACAATATATAAGTAGATTTAGGAAGAAATCCTTCAGTAGTAAAGATACTAATGTCGCACTGACTTATGTTCAAAAACGTGGGACTTCACTGTTGTTTAAATACTTGTTATATCTGGTGTGATAAACTGGAAAAGCATTAATTTTCTGGACATCAAGAATTAGATTCAAGGTACGCAATTTATCCATTTTTGAAAAGGCAATTTTTCAAATCAAAACAATGCAGTATGTTCTCTCTGATATACATTTTATAATATTTAGAAGAACAGAAAGTTTATTATTTAAAATGATCTTTGTTTGATATTTAATATACAGGTGACCTGCTGAGATGGCTTACATTTTTTTCTTTCAGGATTTGTATTGTTTATTATGTTTTTCTCTTTTTATTTTTAGTTTGCATTGGAATGAAATATTGTATGCATTGTTTTAACTAATTTTATTTTATGCTATTATTTTATGTCTATATGTGAATCAACCTGTAGGCTTTTTGCCCATACATACATACATATACATATACACATACACACACAGTGTGTGTATGTATATGTGTGCATGTATGTGTTTATGTGTGTGTATATGTCTATATTTATATGTGTATGTGTGCATATATGTGTGCATGTAAAATGTTTCTGTCTGTGTCTGTCTATTGGAAAGGGAAATGTAAACGCAAACATGCCCTGCATTAGTCTTACATCATTTATTGAAGGTTTTATTGGTCAATGATCAAAATAAAATGACTGATTGTTTTTATGAAAGGTTGCTCTTCTAGCAGACTTTCTATGGCTATAATTTCAGCTTAGTCTTCTGTACTAGAACAATGAACAATTATTGAGCAAGATCTGCATAAGTGGGTAGCAACTACTGTTTAACCTTATGAAACTAAACAACCAAAAGACAAACTTACCTTATTACAGGAGTAAACAGACTGTGCAGGCGACAATATAATCTTACACCCTGTTAAGTATATGAACAATATTCTATCTAAATTACTCAGTATCAGGTAAAGTCCATAGATATTTATACAGGTTACTATCTCAAATAATGGCATTTTATGGCCTTAATTTAAATTGCTTTATAAAATGAAAGAGGAAAAAGATCCTTCAAAAGCAAATTTGAAATCCAGAAAAATTCCACATAGCTACTTCAAAAATAAATATTGATTTTAGTTCATATCATTTGTTCTATTAGTATACCAGCAACATTTTCCACTGTGCCCTCTTACCCATTGACACCTAAAACACTTACAAATATGAGAAAAATGATAGCTATGTCTAATGAATTAAAGAACAGTTATCACTATTTCTTGCTGAAAGTTGCTTCTGCTGTTACATTTTAATTATCAGTATCATATACAAAGTGTAGCCTTGAAAGTGGTTATGCACGTCTGATCACAATACTATAAGGTGGGATTGGTAGTTTATTTAGTTACAATGTTCTATTGTTCCTACATCACTCCTTCACAAGAACAAATACATAAATAAGGCAATTTTTTGTAATAGTTTATTACACCAGGATCATAAACCAAGATTTAAAACAAGATTTGTTAACTCATAGTGTGGCTTGTTTCCCTACCACAAAGCATAATCGTTGGCTCAGAACATCACACTAAAAAATCTCAGCAATTTTAAGATGTATGGACTTCAACTCCCAGAATTCCTCAGCCAACATTAAGGTTGAGAAGCACTACTAAGGTATTCCTTTCCAATTTATTTACTTGATTAAATGAAACAAAAGAATGACTGGAAGGATGCATGTAACTCATGCACAGTGAGCTTATTTTTTAATGAATTATCGGCCTGCCTCTAGTCTTTCAACAAATGGATATAACATGTTATTCATTGAAAGAATACTAATATTAAACTGAAAAAGAAGAGACTATAATAACATTGCTAAATTCAATCAAATTATACTCACCTATTACATTATATTGTATTGTATTAGGATTGAATATTATATAACACTGTAATTTGTCTTCCACTTCAAGAGCTCAACACAACATAATTTAATCTCATTTTTGCACATCAGGAAAACAGGAAATTTAACTTATATTAAATTTATAACACCAATTTTATAATGCCATGTTTAGTTTTTAATCAGAATGTTTGTATTTTTAAATAGTATAGCTATTTAGTATAATGTTTGTACCTTTGAAATTACATCCTGCATTTCATTTCTTGGATAATATGTGCCATCATCATAACGGAATCTATAGAGCATGTGTTCAGGTTTAAACTGATGTTTGTCTGTAACTAATGCAAAAGCAAACATAAAAATATGTCAATGTAAAGAAAATGCATGAGAAGAGCCAGAAGTATGCTGTATCCTAAAACTGGCTATAATAGGTTTGCCCTTTTTCACAATGACAAATTACAATTTCATTAGACTTCACCATACATTTTCATTTTATTGTGTGCCCTGAATCTGATTAGCAAGAACTTTATTTTGCAAAGAATGCTATACATCTTAGCGTTTCTCAAAGACTCAAATGTCCCATTATTCCCAGCTATCTTTGCATGGAGAAAATTGCAATTGTTAAAAATTTAAAATAATAAAGGCATAACTTATGAACCAAAGCTTTCCCGCATCTACTAGATTTATTTCAAAAGTGGTTGTCAAATCTGAATCCTTAATATGAAGAATACATCTCTCTCTCTCTCATTCTTTGGTAGCCACTGCCAACTGCCTGAGCTAAAAATAAATCTTTTTCTTAAGAACAAATCTCACAATGTCCTCATTATCAAGCTTTATTAAAAATAATGTGGGAGTGTTATAAGCAGTGCTTTTTTTCTAACAAAAAAAAAAAGGGTGCCGGAACTCACACACATCATACAACCCGCCTTGCCTACCCTACAAGGTTCCATCCAAAAAAGGTGCCAGAACTCTGTTCTGGGCGTTCTATGAGAAAAAAAAGCCCTGGTTATAAGTGTTCTGGCAAGTGAACAATTCTCCCCTTAGTATTAAAATATTTTTGTTTATGTCAGGTCAGGAATTTGAGTCTTCTCACAACTTATTGGTATAACAGTGAGGATATACATATATTTTTTTCTCAGATGCAACTTTGGGATGTTTAAGTAACAGCTATTTGAATCCTTATCAGTTCATAACAAATCTTTTTAAATAAATAAATAAATAAAACTTCAGCATTAGCTTTTGGACCACAGTAGTCTTTTACTGGCTCTTCTTTTCCACTGACTGCTGACTATTTATTTTTCTAAATAAATGCCCAGCAATGTTTTTAGGCCCCTGACATCAGGATGCAATTTAATGGCCACCTAAATATAATACTATATCCCATATTATGTTATATCATCTCTCTTTTACAGACACCTTCAAACACATAATTAAAACAACCCAGTGCTTATATAAGGACACACAGCTCTTTTAAGATTTCCTTATTTAGTAAGAGTGTGAGCATTTTTAATTTTAAAAAATTAAAAATTACTACTGCTTTGCAGAACTTTGTGTTCCTCATAATGCAGTTGTGACCCTGACAATATCTGGTTCTCCCTGACCAAATCTAACTAATACAGATAGAATTGAAATCTTACCCAAATTAATCCGTTTTAACAAAACATACCCCAAAATAAAACAAGGTATCTTATTCATAAATATATATTGTTTAATCCGATTTTTTCTTCCCTCTCTTATTAGTTCAATATTAGTACACTTTTGATCTTTCCCAATGGAGTTTGTTACATCTGTTCTCTTCGTGTGTGTGTGTGTGTGTGTGTGTGTGTGTGTGTGTGTATGTGTGTGTACGTGTATATATATATATCACTCAATTATTAATCAAATTTATGTTTCCATTTTCTGTTCATTTTGGCTTAAGGCACAACCAGCTACTAAGTCCATGTATGTCCATTCTAGAACATTTGTATATGTATCTTTATTTGGCTTGCTATTCAGAATTATTCAGTCGTAATCAAATAGAATCTGATAAACAATTAAACTAAAAAAAGGTTTTCAAACAAACTAATTATACAATAGAAGAAAACAAAACAATATAAAGAAACATCAATGAAAAAATATTAAATGCAACATCTGGACATTTTAAACAATTGAACTACAAAACAGGAAGAAGCAAGTTGTATGTTAATCATATTTAGTGTCAACGCTGCTAACATCGGATGTTCTCGCTTTGACAACAGATGGAAATGCAGCCATTTTCTCTATTGCTTTTAGAATTAGGAGGGGGAATAGGGATGAGAGTCCAGCTAGTCATAACAATAATAACTTAGTCATTAGGAACCCAAGGACATTGGGCCCAGAGCTGATAGTGTTTTGGCGAGCTGGAGAGCTAGGGAGAAAGCCCGACTTCAAGCTAATTGGGGAATGTGATTTATGACTGTCTATTGGAGGAGGGAATTGCACTTTGTTACTTTGAATCCAGGGGAGGGGAATTTAGTTTTGGGTTTCAACCATGTAGTGCCAATGTTTTGTTTCTTGAATAAAAGATTCTTTAAGGTAAACGATGCCTCGAAGTTCTTTTGAAGAGTTTCAACTGTCAGAACCATGACATTTAGTCTATACTACCAATTAGTCTTTACCAACAATTAATGAGTTTAAGTTATTTAAAAATCAAACAAAAATGATAAAATTCATATTCACTTATATCCATCACTGGAAAGTTATAAATCTTTATTTTACATCCTTGAATCACTTTGTCCTGCTGTTTGACTAACAGAACAAAAATATAAAAGATTTAATTGAAATATGTTGTCTTCTGTTTTCTTCAGATGCATTTCCTTGTCTGCACTTGGAAAGCCTGGTTTGTACTTAAGATGGGAGAACTTCAGGGAATCCCAAAGTTGTTTGCTAGACATAAAGCAAAAACAAACAAACAAACTAGAGGAAAGCAATTGCAAGTGATTATTGTCTTGCTGCCAAAAAACCCAAACATGACTTTGAACTCAATAGGAGTTGAACATGTCTGGAAGAAGACTTTAGTTCTTACTTTCAACTGTTCTGATATAAAAAGCATATATTTTGAGTTATTTATTATTAGATAAGAGTATGCCCCATTTAAAATTTCAAAAAGAAGTGAATTAAAAAACATGCACAAACTTCACAATAGTTTTGAGTTAACCAATTATTTCAAGTCAATTAACTAATACTGAATGAATATCAATAAAATTTTTACACTGTTAATTATACTTCAAGTGGAAATAGCAAATCCAGAAAATTTATACAGTTCTAATGTAAATCTAATTGTCTCTCAAATGCACAGTGATTTTCTGTTTCTGAACAAAAACAGATGGGCCATTCAATTTTATTTTAAGAATTCAGTTCTTGTGGAAACACAGCTGGGAATACCTAATAATAAGTAAATAAGTAAGTTCCTCTTTTTGGGTCAATAACCAGCATAAAACAGCTACAAGACAAAAACAATAAAGTATAGGGCAAGCTATAAAAGACAAAAGAAAATATCAGATCTCTATAGCTCTTAAACATCATTTAGATATAATATGGATATAACAGATATACATAATAAAACAGGTTATTCTTTAGGCTAAAACTGAAAACTAAAAGCTAGAACTAATAATAACCAAACTGTTCCAAAGACAGTGGTGATGTTACCTAGTTTGGTAAAGAAACATCTTCAGAAAACAACAAACTCAGAGAGCATCAAGGATCTCACTGTTCCAAAGACTTATTCTGTAACTTTTGATGACAACAAATGTCACTTTCATAAACAATTATATATTCTGTACACCTACTGACAAGTAAAAAGAATTAAATGTTTGCAAATAATTTATTTACCATGATGGATAATGCCATTCTCTAACAAAGCCTGACCAAGATGAACACCTTCTTCAGGTCTGTGAATCTCTCCACTTTCCAATAACCAAGATACAAACTCACTAATTAAGAAAAAAGCAGATAGACAAAAAATATTTTAACATATCTAAGTTAAATATAGTAAAGAAGTAAAATTCCTAAAGAAGCAACAGAATACACTTTGCTCATTAATGGTGTAATCCAATTCATGTCTACTCATGAATAAGCTGTTCTGAGTACAATGATTCTGAGAGAAGAAGATATCAGATTAAAATCTAAATTTGTGATTTTAGAATTCACAATTGTTTGTTTCTTTAACAGCTAGGATGGAGTAAGGGTCAATAAAATGTTGGGTGGCCAGAAGCTGCATTTAATGTTGTTGGAAGAACTGCAAAGGATGAAGTAATAAAGGTAATAGCACCAGGGCAACTATTCTATTCCACTGGCACCCCTTTTTTTCTGAGGTACACTGGAGGGAGATTTTTTACTTATGGTAAGTCATTTTACAGTTCACATTATAATTTTCATATGTGCCCTGTCTCAACAAGGGAATAACTGTGCAATCAAAGTTCATTAAGTAGGTATTTAAGAATTATGTGAGAGTTTATGGTAATAAATGTTACATGTCTTTATTCCTTATCAGTTCTGATCTGATCAGACTTCATCAAGTCCATAGGTACAAACTGTTGCTAGAACTGTTTTGCATTGATAGCTTGGTGAAGCAAACGTCTGGGCTGCAGGAAGAATCTGATGTTCCTATAAACAACATTCGGTCAGTTTTATTATACAATATCCTTATTAATTAAATAAAATAGCACTCATATTTTCGTATGATACCTGAGACTTCATAAAAAAGGCAAAAAATAGGCTGTATGTATGTGTGTGTGAATACCATATGTGAAATACTACTGTATGTTTTATAAAATGGCTTTATATTTTATAAGGCCAAAAAGAGCTATTTATGCTACTCTATCTTGTCAATCCATGAAAAAAATGAGAAACTATAACACATAGCACATTCTATTTAATTTTCTAAACTATAGGACAGAATTCTGTCCAAATGAAAGACAGAGGGGCAGTTTACTGATTACTTTTTGCGTACATAAAATAACATTTATAGTTTCAACACTGCATTTTTAAAGCTTGGGGGACAGGTAGACAGACAGATATCACTGTAATTATTTATATCATCATTCAAAAAAAATCTGTATACTTGTATAATATCTGCTGCTTCTTTTCAGGAATATTATGTAGAGCAGCCAATACCCAGATTGGCTTAACTAATTTGCTAGTTAGCGTTAGAGTGAGAATGTGTTGACTAGAAATCCTAAACAGACTGATCATTTTATTTATCTAATTTTATTAATAATAACTAAAATAATGAGACAATATTTTAAATGCAGATATTAAACACATACTTTCCAAGGAAACATTTTGGAAAAGTAGTTAATTTTCTCTTTCGGTCTTTGATCAAATTGCCTTGTCTGCACATCATTTTGTAAAGTTTTTCTCCTTGTTCAGAGATCATCACCCACGTATCTTGTTCCATACCAAGTTTTAACCCTGAAAAACAAATCATAATATAATAATTTTGAAATGTTTCCAAATAATGTATTGCTATCTATCTATTGTGGGGTGTGAGGGAGGGGTGTCCTTCAATTTTCAATCCTAGTAAAATTAAATGTAAAATAATGTGTGATTTACTTCCAAGAGTTTTAAAATTAGAATAGTAAACATTACCAAGAGCATCTGAACAAGTTCAAACAAATCATTCCAGACATGATTTTCTAAAAAACAAATACACACACAGACATGCACACACAGAGATATATTCACAAACGAAGTACTGAAAGATTCAGATTAGAATTCCTAGTATAGTATATTAAGTGTTAAGATGATGTCAAGAAACAAGTCTAGGAAATCTCCTTTTCAAATACACAATAAATGTAAAGATCCCCATTCACGAGGACTTTTACCTGAAAATCATTTCAAAAGTTGAATGGACTAGCTAAATAATTATCAGGGAAACTAGGGACCCAGCAGTGTCAGATTAACAAACGATTACGAAGACAAAGCCTAAACACTGGCAGTAATACATCCATATAGCGTGCGCGCGCGCGCGCGCGCACGCACGCACACACACACACACACACACAAACATATATCATCTCCTCATTACTAGTAGTGAAATAATTGGTAATTCTTGCCTACACTAGGCTGACATGGAAGTGCAAACTTGCCTGAGTAAGATTGGATTCAATTTACAATTTTCTAGAAAGAGCAGGGGTTTTATTTGCATTGGTTTAGTTTATATATTAAGGTAAGGTTTGCTTGGTTTTGGTTTAGTTATGTCAGCATTTGCAGCTATTAGGCAAAAGAGATCAGTCATGCAGTCATGGGGGGGGGGTGGCCCTTTGTTTTATAACAGCTATAACTGCTTTACAGGTTACCCATTTCGAGGCCATTGTGATTGCAGAGAGAGAGAATAGAATATTTTATGTACTATTTTTAAGCATTACAAATCTTTTAAGTTTTTATTTGTAGCATTTTTTTCAAATTTACTCCATCTTTACATTCACAGCATATTCAAAGCAGATAACAGATTGAGTGTTAAAATGCAATTAAACATTAATAAAATTGCAAAAATAATTCAGTAATCTTTCATTGTGATAGAATATACACAATCCTCAAAATCCATGAAGAAAGGCAATATTTTTTAAAACCTTTTAAGATCATAATCTCACTACTTCAGAAAGTCAGCTAAATTTCATTTTGACTTATGTAAACTTTTTCCAATTGCTTTATATTCATGAATATGAATAGAATTATAAAATAAACAAAAGCTCCTTTTTATTCATGGTGAATGGAATGTTGTTTACAACTACTTTCAGTGAAGGCATTTGAATTCTGCAAACTGTTTTGTCCATGAATCATCTGTTGTTCCATATGTAATTAAGTCAGTGCATCCTGATTTATAAAAGAGATGTTTACACAGATGTTGTGGAGATGGAATGACTGGACTATACACAAAGATTATCAAAAGAAAATCCCTATATAAATGTTTTGGAACCTTTCATTTTGAGAACTAATGTGATAAATAATCTAACTCTTGCTCTTATTTTGGTTCCTTCATTGTTGGCTATAATTTTCTACTGTGCCTGAGGAACTTCTTTGCTTATCAAATTAAAACAATGTAAAAATCTTCATGTGGGACCAAAATTACATTCTCACACCCCAGGGTCAATGCCCTGGATTATTCTGGTGCTCACACCAATTATTGCTCCTTGGTGAATAATGTTACTACAAACATTTATTCGTCTACACAGTTTAAAACTCCACAGCTATATGTTATAGAGGAGTAGAAGTGTAAATAGAGAATGAGTGTACGGTATTTTAAATAAGAATTCTTTCTTTTAAAAAAACTTTGCTAGCCTACATCAGCATTAACTGCCCAAAGCTGAAAAGTCTGAGGGTTGGTTTTTTTTTTACTTTCAATTAATGTATAGAAAGAGTAAGTAATTCCAGGACTAATATAGATATTTCTTTGTAAGCATTAAGCAATAATCTGGATAGGATGTTTTTTAATTATTTGGGGGAGGAAAAAAAATTTTCACAAAAAAATCCAGGGAGTTCTGTTCTGTTGTTAAATTTTTAATGAACATCTATGCTCAGTAAGGACATGGGAGGCTTCTTAGTGGCTTGGTGGATCTAATTTAACCAGAGAGAAGTCCTGGCTTCATCTTTACTGGAAACACACACATCATGTCCCTAATGTCTAATTCCACTTCTTTTCTATCCTTCTCATCAGAGGAATATCCAGCAGGATCATAACACTTCAGGACCTTATTCACTTACTAGATCTTGTTAGCAAAAGTAGTTGCCAGGAGGGTATAGGGAGCAGAGGTTCAGAGTTATTGTTCTACATCCCTCAGGTGAGAAACTCAAGGAAAAGGTATTAACAGAATAACAGAGTTGGAAGGAACCTTTGAGGTCTTTTAGTCCAACTCCCTGCTCAAGCAGTAGACCTTATACCATTTTAGACAAATGGCCGTCCAGTTTCTTTTTAAAAGCCTCTAGTGATGGAGCACCCACAACTTCTGAAGACAAGCCATTCCACTGACTGATTGTACTCACTGTCAGGAAATGTCTCTTGACATAGTACTTCCTCCAGCTGAGTGTATAGAAATAAATTTCATGTTCTCACCTTTTCTTCTTTCCCTTTCTTTTAGGATAGCTTCAAGCCATTCATGCTTTTCTTCAGATGTTTTGGCCATACACACAAACCATTTATTCTTTGCTGTGTTGTGTATCTTCCAACCATTGAGAACAATGTGACCACTGCTATGATAATCAGCTGAAAATTTATCACAGAAAGGAAAATCTGAGATGTACATTTCATCTGATGGCTACTAAACACTCTAAGCTGTACAAAATTGCTTTTGATCCCACCCTAAGCATTACAATGTACTCTTACTTAAAGCAAAACTTCCCTAAATAAATGTGTATGTGTGTGTTTCCTTCCATGTTTTATGAAAATTTTAACAGGGTTTAAGAACCAGGAAGAAACTATAATTCATTTAATATTTGACTGCCAGCTTAAAATTGTGAATCTAGTCCTGCCTAGCCAAACCAAATCAAATGTCTTTCTGTTATCTAAACAGAAATGCTAATCTTATGAAACTCCATTCATTTACCAAAAGAGTACAATAAAACAAACAAAAACAAAGCATGCTGTAAGTAACATTGTAACAGAAATGGCAGTTTCCATTAAAAAATACAGTCATTCATGCCTTGGTAACATCACAGCTTGCTTCTTGCAATGTGTTCTACAAATGCTGGTTGTTACCTATAAGTCCTTTCATGTCATAGGGCCTGGTTACCTGAAATTACCACTTATAGTATCTGCCAAACCAATTGGATCAGGCAGGCTAGATGGATCCTTGGAATATGCTGCTTCATTACAGTTTTGCACACAAAGATTGGGGGCCATTGTTTATAAATAGGAGTATAATTTTCTTATTCATATAATCTTTGATCTTCCATTCATGCCAAATTTATTTACATCAAATAACTGCATGTTATTGAAATTGTATAGGGGTAGTCATTGTTTAATGATCAGTCATTCAAAGTTATAGCACTGAACAGCACTGAACAAAGAGACTTATGACTGGTGCTTGCAGTTGGACTGTCATAATGTCCCTGTAATTGTGTGAACATGAGATAGATGCTTGGCAACCTGTTTGAACTTACACAGTCTCAGTACCCTGGCATCATGTGATTGCCATTTGTTACATTTAATACCTTCAACAAGCAATGTCAATGGGGAAGCCAGCAGAAGGTTGCAAATAACACTTCACAGCTGTGCAGCATTTACTTAATCAGCCAATGAAACTGGTACTCTTGTATGTTGGTAAAGTCATGTGACATCACACTTTACAACCGCATCACTTAGTGACAGGGTTACTAGTCTCAATTACCATCTTTAACTGGGGATTACTTATATTATTATATGAGACACAAAGTCAAAATTCAAAAGATAATAATAATTAAGAAAGTGATATATATTCATATACCTGTGCCATCATCAACATTCTCAACTTCCATCACCTCTGTATTTATTCTGCCTCGGAAAAGATATCGATGACCTTCTGAAGATGCTTTGCTGTTTTTCAATCGTCTAATTAAGGAAAAATATTGTACAAATTTTAAAAGTATTAGTGTACTTCAGGCTCACCAAGACTGTTTATTAGTACTAGCAAATATTTATAGACCAAAAATTGAGTACTATCTAGACCTCATTTTATTTAATACTGTTGCAGATAAATTAATAATTTAGTAATAATTATTAATAAATCAATATTATTTTAATAAGAAATGTTGGTTGCAATGTAAAAAAGCATGCTTTGTAGCCTTAACTTATTATTCTAAAAATTTAATTGTTTTGCATTAGATGGAACCTTGTCATTATCTGAGCATTATAGCAGTTAAAATATTCAAATATATTTTTTAAAATTTAAATTCAGATAATTTATATATGTTCAGTCTTGAAAGCATAAATCAATGAATGTATCTCACCTATGCTTTCTTTTGCAGTAGACCAAAAGATTGTCAAAAAGAAAGAACGCTCGTTCTTGTATGTTTCCTGCTGAGATTTTCAACAAAACTCCACACATCAGCATTTCTGTGCAAGTGTCTGTGATGTTAGATCCCTAGCAAAGAAACATATGAAAAGAATAGTTATGTGGATCCAAAATACTGTTTTCTACATGCATAATGCATTTAGCTAATCAAAACAGCAAAGTGGATTTAACATTTAGAAAACAATCCTAATTATTATACACATTATATATCTCCCCAAAGGTGTTTTTTTGAGAGGCAAGTGGATATTCTTTGTTTTACCTTAAAGACATTTCGGTTCTCATCTAAAAAGCTTCTTCAGTTCACTTCAGAAGCATCTTGGATGCGAAACGAAATATCTTCAAGGAAAAACAAAGAAAGTCCAATTGCCTCTTGAAAAAGCACCTTTAGGATAATTGTGACCTGGATGACTCAGAATCTCCAGACATTATTTATCTTGTTTTTAAAACAGGTTTATAACACAGACTGGTGTTGTATCATCTGGAAATACTATCTTGATAGAAGGTCCTTTAAAACCAGGAAACTAAATTTTTCAGAGGATCCCTTTAAGCCCCTCTCATAAAGAAATTTTATATAAATCATTACCAATCAGAGAGAACAAAGATGAACTCAATACCACTGGAGGCAGAAGATTGGGGATACTGCCTTAGAGATTGGTTGCACTGATCAGAAGCTGCTCTCCCACTTTCAGAAAAGTTTTCCCTGTTACCATCAGGCATAGCCCTTTCAATTCCAATTGCTCCTGATATTTTTATATACCAATAGGGAACTTTGTCCCCAAAGCATGTGTTCAATCATTGCCCCCAAAATCAGGAAGCTGCCTCATGTTGACTTTTAACTTTGTTCTTGGAGACATCTTTTGAAGAGAGGATTTCAAAAAAACTGTGTATGCTTTGGAACTCAAACTATAATTTGGATATAGGAAAATGTGGACTGCACATCTAAATAAATAAAAGTTCTCTGAAATCAGTGAAACTTGATTTAAAATAAAAAGGCTTAAGCAGAATATTCACCATATGTGCCTGGATCAGACTCATTCTGAAGAAAGCAGAATTTTGCTGACTTTAGGATTATGATATTCTAAAAATAATGGGTAACATTTTTCACTGATGTAATTGCAAAGGCATTTTTAATAGGCTCTCTAGAGAAAAGGTTCGCTGCAGGCAGTATGTTTCTTAGTGCTTTCTTAGAGATTTATTTAAATACATTAGCTATTTCACACTGCTTTCTTATAGCACAAAATAGTATCATACACAAATTACAGGATGCTATGAGTGAAATCATTAGTATAACTAATCAAATATAGGCTTTTCTGTCCTCACATCACTGGATATGTACTTATTCACATTATATCTTTGCCCAATCACATAATAGTTTATCTTTATATCCCAGCTGCCAAATAATGATTCAGTGATTTCACCAAACCAAAATTACAAATATGATTTCACCGATTCTTTCATTATGTAAATATAACAATTATGAATTTGTTCTATTTGAGATCCCTTAAGTAGAAAAGCAATTTAAGTATGGTTTAATTATTATAAAGCATAAACAATCAACAAAATGCTTGCAAAGCAGTGGTGGGATTCAGCCAGTTTGCGGCACTTTGGCAGAATCAGTAGCTAATTTTTTGTTGCCCAGGCCCAGAATGGACTTCCAGAAGCGGCATCCACACAGAGAAACGGTTGTTCACATATTTGAATTCCACCACTGTTGCAAAGGATAAAAGTAAAAGCATCATGTGTTATTATTTATAGAAGATAGATTCAGCCCTCCACACACTTTTTCTCATTTAAATGTTCTGGCTCTCAGTCCTCTTAAAAATGTATCAGTTATATGCACTGGAAATATAATTTTAACAAAAATAACAAGAAGTAAAACACAATATCTAAAGACCTCACTTAAAATAAAAAGGTCTTCAACACATAAAATAATTCATTTCCTAAATAATGCAACTACCACTTTATATGAAACTCAAAGCAGAAAAATAAAATCAGGTTATGCACATTTCAATTTGATTTAACATTGCTTCCTATAATACATAGTGGATGACTATTTTCTATTTTTCTAAATTTGCCCAATTTTTTAATCTAAGTTAAATTAGATTTTTTTGGCTACTATAAGTAATCCTCACTTATCACCAGCAATTGTGATCAGCAACTGTCACTAAGCAATGCAGTTATTATGTGAAACATTATGTAGCCATGCCTTACATCAGTTCTGTAAGTTGTGGCCATTAAGCAAATCACCCATGGCCATTAAGCACAACTTCACATGACTGTGTGACTTGTGACTTACTGCCAGCTTCTCCATTAACTCTATTTGTTGGAAGCTAGCTATGAAATGTTCAAATGGCAATCACATGACCACAGGTAAGCTACCACGGTTTTAAGATCAAGAACTAGTTGTAAAACTATTAGTCATATGTTTGCTAAACATGGAAGTCATTAAATGAAGACTACCTGTACTATTTAACCTGCCACATAATGACATGTTGTGCTCTTATAGTTAGATGGGTTTTTTATTGTTTGTCCAAATAGGACATTGTACATAATTGTAGAATGCAACCAAAAACTGAAAAAGTTGCCAGTTGTCACTCTTTATTAAATGAAATGACAGCAAAGGCCAATGGAGAAAAACAAAGACCCAACATCCCCAAGCATAAGTAGGAATCTTTATTAGAGTCCATCTTTTGGCAATCAAGAATATTGAATTAGATAGCCACGTAGGGATGGCTTGAAGGACTATATGTATGGCCATTGTAAGAAGTATATACTGTACCTAGCATACAAAGTTACTCTAGACACCTAGTGCATAAAGTTACTCAGATCCACTTTGACCTGGATTGTAGCTATGCAGATCATATGGAACTAACTTGGGGCATGGTCTGTGATATCTGAAAAGTGTTTAAGTCTGTTTGTCTTGGGGAAATAGAAAAAGTTTTCAGAACTGGGAGCCAACCATCTATATGTTAATCCATGTCCCTACTGGCTTGTCAAAGATTCCTAAAAGGTGATATATGGCCAGTAATTTAATCCTTTAGTGGGAGGGGGGGTTCTCTCTGATTTAAATATGAAAGGCTACCAGAATGATATGGAAAAAAATGCTACATGGAATATACAAAGAAATTGACTGATGTCTTAATAATTAAAATTGATAAACAAATAATAAACCAAAAGAGCAACCTGGATAATTTTATTACATTGGATTTACAAAATAGACTTGTTAAAGCTTTGAATAATTTTGTGAAAAAGTACTAAGGAAAACTGAAAAGAAATCAAGTTTAGCAGACTGAAGGAATTAACGATCAAGAGTGTTGAAAATAAACAGAAGGAATATAAAGTTAGTTTATTAGATTAGATTAAATCTAATTATTGGCTAAATTATTAGCTAGATTAAATAGGTATGTTGTTATGTGTTTGGAGAGTGTACCATTAAAGAAGAAGAAAAAAATTAATTGTATTTTTCAAGTTGTCTACTTTTCTTCAATTGTCCAATTATAATCATTATCCAAGCTCAATTTATAACACATTTGCGTAGAATTCAAGTCATGCTTTGATCCTCCATCAGATCCTAAAAATAGCTTTTTTTCTACATAAGCAACGTGCTAAATATTTTCTTCTGACAGAACATCTCTAACAAGTATGTTTCTCTGCTCTTAAGCCTTATAGCAAACCAGATGTCCAGTTAATGAAACCTGGTGTTTTAGTACAGAAGGGTCTATTAAAGAAATGTCTCGTAAACATGATAGTATTTTTTAAAAATGAGAACATTAAACTTTCATTAGAACGTTGACTCTTAAACATTTAGCCACTGAACTATAATCAAAATATACTTAGCTTACAAAAGGTATTTATGAAGGTGTAATATAACAAGCCTTCACTAGTAGTTCCTTATTACCTGGCAATATGTTTTCAGTATAACAGTGTTACCATATATATTTATCTAGCTATCTATAATAATGTTAGACTGTAACTGCCGTGTTTCCCGAAAATAAGACCTGGTCTTTTTTTTTTTTTTGGCCTGCAAAAGAGGCATTAAGTCTTATTTTCGGGGGATGTCTTATTTTTTCCATTATCTTGCAGCAATAGCAACAGCCCCATCCAGCAAGAGCCTGTGTGGCCACCACCAACCCATTTCTGCAGTTTCTCACTGCTCACATGCATCACTCCCAGCCTCCATTTTGCCTCTGCAACTGAGAACAGAGCCTGTGTTGACACGTGCGTCACCCTGGCCTCTGTTTCCCGGCAGAGGCCTTCAGGAAAACACTGGTTCTTGGCTGCAGAAGCCTTTCTTGAAGTCCTCTGCCAACAAAAGAGGCTGGGGGTGACACACACAAGCAGCGGCGAGCAGCTGCAGAAGTGGGTTGGCAGTGGCCATACGGGCTCCTGCTGGACGGGGCTTTTGGTGCCACCACCGCGAGGCAAGGCAGGTGTTGGGGCATAGGAGGACTAGCTGTGGGGGCCCTGACATAAGCGGGTGCGGGGCACATGGGGCAGCTCCACCCCCTCTCCCACTTGCATCACCTCACCTCGTGGCGGACGCACCGCGAACAACCAGACAGAATGGGCAGGCGGCCAACTGCACAGGATCTTAACTAGGGCTTATCTGGGGGAAAACACAATAGTAGCAACTATTTGGAGTCACAATGGCCATTCCAGAAACCTCATTACAAGCAAACCTCATTTAGGGACCGCCTTGTACAAGTGTTTGCAGTTATGACAGTGCTGAAAAAGTAATTCTGTGATCATTTCTTACATTTACAACCTCTATAAAGCAAAGGAAGGCTGAAGTAAGATCATAAGTACAGTTGCTATTTTACTTAGCAACCATTTCACTTAACAACAGAATTGCCAGTTCCAATTGCTAAACAATGACCTGTATTATATTTTAAAAATAAAAATTCAAGATGCGAAGGATTGAACCAGGAACTTCTATATGCAAAGCTACTAAGCTATTGTCTCTTTATCATATGAAAACTCTGATGATGCACCGAATATTGTTTCCCATAAAACCTATTCTAAGCTTCTGCTATCAAATCAATATACCATTTTATTTCCATCTATTTGGTTTGCATTCAAAATGATCTGAGAGATCATACATTTATAATATTTTAACATTTGTCACTAATATACAGTATTAAGTTGATTACATGTTTCTATTGCCTACTGGTTTTGTTTCTAATTGTTGTGTACTCAATATAGAATAATAGGTGAAATGAGAAAAAGGAGGACAAAACAGCAATGAATTGTATTCATCTTAGTCAAAAACAGAGTAGTTGTTCATTCATTCACAGACCCAGCTAAAGAGAAGCCAAGTTGATGGTGACTGAGTTCATATATCACATAAAGGCATGTTTTGCTGAAGTACAATTTCATTATAAAATCATTATTGACTGGGTTTGTGTTAACACTAAGCTAAAATCTAATAAACATTGCTTAGCAGCATATGAGAAAAAGCTCTTAGCTTCATGCTTTGGCCAATACAGATTATTTCTTTTCTGCTTTCATTAAACTTCTATTTGATCAGGTACTATGATTCACTTCATCTATTATCCCCTTCTGCTGAATCCTCTTTTTATATTCTCACCAAATATATTCAGACTTATTTTGTATCTTCTTTCAAGTAATTTCTTCTAGATCAGTTATTTTCACCTCCCATTCTTTTGAATTTACTTCATATTTTTGTGATAGTATAGAAACTAATGCAATAGTTACATCAGGAACTTACCATAAAGACTTTAGCCTTTCTTTTTGTAAATGCATATGCTTCCATTTAGCCATTTTAAACTTTGCACCAGTCTTATTTCTTCTACTTCCCCCAAAATACCTAATTTGAAAATTCTAACTAATATAAGGATTTTTAGGAATCACGTCCTATAAGCAATCATTCTGAGAAAGAGGGAAGAAACTATTTTTCCTCAATGTATGATTCTCCATTTATTCTGAAAGGAAATTACTTGAAAAGGAAATTCACATTATTTAAAATCTATGCCCTCCTCTCAATGGAAAATATAGTTGATTGCAAGGAAAATCTGTGGCTGTCCTTTTTAAATTCTCCACTTGCTCAGTTTTGAAATTTCTACCAATAGAAGAGAATATTTGTAGTTCAGGTTAAACGGAGGAGTCCTTGGTGCTCTCTGAGGTCAGCTATTTTCTTGCAGACGCTTCATTAAAATAGCTAACATCTTCAGTGCTAGAAGGGAGTGGGGTTTGGTATCCATTTATATATAGTGGCTTGCACTGTTAGTGTTGGTGAAAGATTTGCTTTCTTCTTGGTAGTTCCTTGATTAAACTATTGTTTATGTTAATTTGTTTGTCTGAGTTGAGGTTCCTTGATTGGTATATTGTTTACTGCTTGATTGTGATCTGGTATTAATCCTTGCTTATCTGGATATAAATTGCTGGCAAAGAGCTATTCTGAGCCTCATGTTTGTTTTTTATTTATTTAATTTATTATATTTGTTTGCCATCCATCTTGCTGCAAGCAGCTGAGCAGCTTACAACATCAAAATAAAACCATAAATATATATGCAAATGTATAAAATCACAATAAAAATACAGATTATAACTAACTAAAAGATGGGTAGGAAAGGAGCAGAATGTATTGGGAGGAAGAGGTGGGAGCTGCCATTAGCCAATCAACTATCCCCAGGGTACAGCCAGGTTTTCAGGCTCTTTTGGAAGATCAGGAGAGGGGGACCCAATCTCACCTCAGGGGCAAGAGGTTTCAAATGGCCAGGGCCAGAACAGAAAAGACTCTTCTCTTTGACCCCGCTAGCTGAACTTCCTTTACTGATGGGATCTACAGCATGCCTCCTCTGCTGGCATGGGTGGGTCAGGCTAGTCCCATTAGGGTGAGATAGTTCCTCAAGTAACTTGGACCAATGCCATGCAGAGTTTCATAGGTAATGACCAATACCTTCAATTTCACCTGGAAGCAAATCAGCTGCCAGTGAATAAATAAGAACAGCTGAATAATGTGGGCCACTCAGGGGTCCCAAAGACTGCCTTCACCACTGCACCCTTCACCAGTTGAAGCTTGTGAATGCTCTTCAAGGACAGTCCCATATAGACCACATTCTTAATAGTCCAAACGTGAGATAACTTGAATGACTGAGTGTGGGAACTACTGATCCAGGAAAGGCCACAGCTGACATACAACCCGGTCTTTTACTCCTATCAATATTGATTGGGACAACCCTTGGAGAAAGGACTCAACATGCAAGACTATGCTAACCAGCCCAGATCCCATAGGATACTATGGTTGATGGTATCGAAGGCTGCTGATAGGTCAAGGATGCTGACTGAAAGTGATCCATATAATCTGTTTCATCCATGCCCTCTGAATTTGGCAAGCAACCACCTTCCCTAAAAAGAGAAGATGGGAAACTGGATGAATATTGTGCAGATAGGTGAGATTAAGCAATGGACTTTTGAGGAGGGGACAAACCGGTGACTCCTTAAAAGGCGCAGCAAATGTCCCCTCCTGCAGTGAAGAATTTATCACTGCCCAAACTCACCTGCTAGTCACCATCCTGGAGGCTTTCACCAACCAAGATCTAATTGGCAGGTGGTTGCACTGATAGCATTGAGGACCCTATCTACTTCCTCAGGTCCAACAGGATCAAATGTTTCCTTTTTAGCTTTTTCATTGTCTCTGCTGAATGTTGGTTAAAATTTGTTTATACTAGATTTAATCATACTTTCAACTAGAAAACTGTGAGCATCTATACTAAGCTAAGTCCAAATATGCTAGGAAATTCCTGGAGGCTTGGCACCAAAAACTCCTTACTTTAAATTTCTGATAATAATCCAGATGCGGATTGATGAGTGTCTCAAATAATCTAAGCAGTAAAACAAATAACAATGGTTTATTCTAATTGTGAATTATGTATGATAATGTCCTGTGCAAAATATAAGACTACAGAGTTCTTATTTCTTCCACATTTGCTAAAATAATACATTTTATGAAATTACCTCCCATCCTTCAATGTGAGATTGCCATTCCTCTAAAACCTCTAATTTTTCCATTTGTCTCTTGGCTTCATTTATGTTGGAACAAACAGCCTTCATTGTTTGGAGAGCTTCCATTAAGGTAGAGTAGTCACTGTGCTTTTTGGGAGTGCGCTTTAACAATTCCTTTGTTTAAAAAAGAATAATAAAATCAATTCTTATACTCTTCTCAAAATGGAAGTCAAATGTTAAAAATTCATTTTCACAATAAAGCTATAAAATCATACCTATTCATTTAGGAATAAATTCTATTAAAGATATAGGCACCATAAGATTGTGATATCAAACTGATCATGAGATTAAAACTATATATTTAACATTATTATCATTAAATTTTCATTAAATGCAAAGTTTGCAATTCCAGTCTTTAAGACATTGAATCATATTTGAATCCAGTTTCATTTGGATTCATATTTTCACTATTTTTGCAACAGCTATAATCAAATACTAAAGTATTCAGTTCTAATATTTTGTATCAGCAGAAGCCATACATTGATTATGGGCATTTGTGCCTACATATGATTTATCTTCTTACTGCATTGGCAAATAGCCAACCAGAACTTTATTCAAAATTATTCAGTGGTAAAAGTGGCATTAGAAGATCTGCTGTGGGCTACTATATAGAAGTACAATGACTCCAGAAACGCTCCATCCCTACTTGTGGACAGAATTCCATTTTTCCATTCTATTCCATTTCATAGTTCTGGACAGGATTCCAATTGATATACGCCTCTCAGAGTTGCTTGTTTGGTGAAATGGACAACTATATAAATTGATCAAACAAACAAATAAGTTGTATTTCCCCATATGGAACTGACTCTTTTCCTAGACTCACAGCTTCTACTTCAGCAGCAGATGCAGTTAGAGGCCAAGAAAGCCTTTGTATAATTACTTCTTGTACATCACTATGACCCATTCTGAACCTGGAGGCACTATACAGCATCATTCATCCCTTGATCACCTCACAGTTGGATAACTGTAGGCAATATGACTCCAACAGCACGTTTACACAAGAGAGGAATAAATAGAAGTGTGTTCCCCTAAACAAGTCCCAAAACAGCTTCCAGCTATTTTTTCCTGTCGAAATAAGACACCTTATAGGCAAAAAGAAGTTTCTTCCTAGCAATAGCCAAGGGGTTTTTTTTTCTCAAAACTCTCTGTCCAGGGATCTTTATTTCACAGGAAAGATCTCAATAGTGTTGGCATACTAGGTTCCATCTTTTGTTTCTGTGCATAATGGGTATTATTATATCCTTTAAAAACAATAAACTCATTTGTTTGGGCAAACAGATTTTTATTTCCAACTGGCAAACAGAATTCAGAAAATAAAAACAATCCATGTAAACTATAATATCTTCAGAAGAACATATTTTCACACTTCTTCAAACAAAAATACATACCTTCAAAAAAAGAGGATACTTGCATATTCTCTGGATTGGTGTTACCAAATAACCTTCTAAAGGTACATCTGTACTCTTCCGTCCTCCTAACAACATGCAGTTCTAAGAAAGGAATTAAATCGTATGTATTTAAACTAAAATTTATCTTTTAGTAATTTTTTTATAATGCTATATTCCTGGACTTTTTTGGTTCCTCAATTTTCAAGTGGCTTTAGTGCTCAGGACTGTTGCTCACTTCATTTTACGTATTAGCCAGCTGCAGCTAGGCATATTACAGTACATGTTCTTTTGCTAAATCGACGAGACATAGCTACTTCAAAGTAGACTTTACTATATACTTTTGGGAAAATGTGTTGAAGATGTTTCTGGGAATTGTTCATTCCAGCGCAACCATACAAAGAACAAGGCAATTGCAGATGGTATCAAAATCCCAGAATTGTCTATTTTAACTAAATGCATCACTTAGAGATAATTTTTGAAGCAAAAATGTAATTGATAGCTTTTTGTGTGGACATACTGAGGAAAGAATAGAATAGAATAGAATAGAATAGAATAGAATAGAACAGAAAATAGAATAGAATAGAATAGAATAGAATAGAATAGAATAGAATAGAATAGAATAGAATAGAATAGAATAGAATTTCTTTATTGGCCAAGTGTGATTAGACACACTTTCACAGACAGAAATCAAATGAAATAGAGAAGACCTTAACATTGTACCTCGGAAGAAACAATTTACACTTGATAGTATGATGTAACCATTATGTTGTTTAATTTTAATTAATTGCAGAGCAAAACTTTGCATAATTTTATATATATTATGGTACAATTCTGACCTAGTCATCCTTTGTTTTTAAGCCAGAGATAAAGTGCTGTTCAGCACTGACACAAATTCAAAATTATAAACTCAAATTCAGAACAATGGACAATAAATCTCTTAGCACATAATAAACTTATAGGATTCACAATTATAAGATCAGGTAATCATATGCCATTTTATTGATCTAAGCCATTTTATTAATAGCTATTAGCCACATTGTCTATATGTAATATCCTCATTAACCTTTACTTTAATACCTCTTGCAGGGTAGAAATAGGAAAATAATGTATTGAGCAGGGGACAAACTTGCACTACCTGAAAACAATTCACTTCATTTCTATTTGTAATGCCAATTGGAGATTAATTTAAAAGTTAACAACATTTGAATAGCTATAAGTTCTGGGAAGTAGGATGATGCATAAAGTGGGGACTTATTCTTATCCAGCAGACTGTTTATTTATTTAGCTTTCAAAAGCTTACATGTCACTTGGAAATGTGTGTGTTGGTGTGTATGTACGTGCACACTCCCACACTCACAAACACACATGTGCAGATCTTTGAGTCATTGCTAACTCCTGAAAACTGCTTGGACTAGTACCTGAAATTATCTTGGCAAGATTTCAGAAATGATTTGCCTTTCCATCCTTTCTGAGGAAGGGCTGAGAAAAGTGATAGGCCCAAGATCATACAGCTGACTTTATGCCTAAAGTGGGACTAGAAATCATAGTCTCCTGGTTTCTAGCCCAATGTATTAATCACTTCACCAAACTGGCTTTCCTTAGAAGTGAAAGGCAATCAAATTACCACACAAAGCAGAACATAGAGATACAGAATAAAAAAAAAGCATTTAGTTACCAGTAAAAATGTCCGCACTGTTTTTATTTTGTTAAGTTCAAGCAAAAGCTTTTGTGCTTTTTCATGATTGCTGCAGTATTCATCATAGATACGAAATCTGTCTTTCTGAATAAAAAGTTTTTAGATTAGTTATTTTGGTCATATTTTAACAGATTTTTAAAGGAATAATGTAAATAAAAATATGAACAAATACAGTTATCTGTGAACAAATATAAAACACAATTGGTTTACAACAAATATTTAAATGTTGACAAATCAATTCATAAAAAAATCAATACAAATCACTTTATATAAAAAAAAGTCCTGTCTTCATTTTTTTATTTTAGTTTTATAGTTAGGTTCAAGGAAGTGTTTGTATCTTCTCATGGTTAAGATCAGGCTCCCATATAGTACCTATAGTCCAATGAATATCTTGTGTAATTTTACAGAACTGTGCATTTTAAAGTCAGTGAACTTATTGCTGTTCACTTACATATCCAACGTGTTCTAGTAAAAAAAAAAAACTGTTATCTGCATATTACTGGATGGGAAAATTATTCAAGACAAATGTAAAAAAATGATTATTGTTCCAATATGTTAGGCCAGATTCATGAAAAATCATGATGACACCTACTCATTCCACTGAATAGGCTGCAAATTCAGCTTCTCATAAATTATGCAATCAAGATCATTTTGTCCTCTAAGTGGATTATACATGAACTACTCTCCCAGCAATTTTTTTTTAAAAAAAAAAAACCAGCACTGGAGAAAAGAATATAATCAATTACATAAAGCTTATATTACTGGATTTGACATACAAAGTGGAGAAAGCAGGATCCCACTTCTTGTTGCGAATTAGGTTCGGGATGCAGACATTCTTCAATCCTAGATAGGAAGTTTTTGTGAACTTCTAGAATATCTTCAATATTTGAGAACAATGTCTGTAAGCAAGAAACCCAGAGTATAAATAAATCCATCTGAGAAACAATAAAAAGGAAGTGAAAACAAATAAGAACTAACCTTAACTGCTTCCTCAGTTACATTTTTATCAATCTTAGTAATAGCACACTGCATTATTCTGTGAAGGAATGCCTGGATAAAGAGAAAAATAAAAATAAAAATATTAGTAAGGCACTAAAAAGTCAGACAAGTAGCCCAGAACAGCTACAGTGATAAATTTTGACATGAATGAAAAATAGTTAACATTCAGCATCTTTTAGCAACAATCCATTCTGTGTGTGTGTGTGTGTGCACATACAAAATTAGCAAAGATCTCAGACTCACCAAATCATGAGCTCTCAAATTATTAAGAAATCTCATGAAAGAGATTTTGTGATTTCACAAAATTTCAGAATACTTAGGTCAGATAAGTATCATTCTGTTCATCCCTGGTCTATGAAATCACTGAATGTAGATGGTATTGTATTGTAGTCTGAAAAGAAGAAATAGATAATACAACCTCAAGCAAAAAAAAAAATTACTTGTAAATACCTAAAGTTATTACTGAAGACAGCTCAGAATGGCAGTCAATTGCCACAAATCTAGTTCTAATTCAGTGTTTCCCAAACTTGACAATTTTAAGGCATGAGGACTTCAACTCCCAGAATTCCACAGCCAGCGTTGCTGGCTGTGGAATTCTGGGAGTTGAAGTCCACATGCCTTAAAATTGTCAAGTTTGGGAAACACTGTTCTAATTCATTGCACAGCTGCTGAGTTTTTATTTCCTAATACAGTATATTAGGCACAACATGGAAAAAGCAAAATAAAAGACACCACAAATAATGCATATTATACCCTTAAGAAAAGCTAACAGATGTTGACACAATAGATATATTTTCAACTGAGAGCAACAAGAGAATTTATATATACTTAAATCATTGTCTGTATTTGCATGCTTTTTTATGTAAAAACTGAAAAAATTTTACACTTCAAAATGATGAGGTAGAAAAAGATACTTTTATAAATTTGTCTATAAATCTGTGTTTACAATGTGTTTATAGAAAGTATTTGTCAGATGCCTATTTTCGCTTTCTTTGAAGCTCGCTAGCAACTGCCATAACTGGGGGGGGGGGGGCTTTGGGAGGGGAAGAGCGCTGGAGATGTGAAAGACTGCTATGGGAATGTGGGGAGTATGGACACTAACAGGAACCAGAAGTGCCAAACCAAGCCATCTTCCTGTGTCCCGCAGGCCCTGGGAAAGGAATTTGCAATGGCAGCCGAGGTACCAGTTCTCAAAACATCGGAACAGAACCGGATTGGACTACTCTCACTGGACGGAGGGTTTTGGACATTGGGGATTGCTTTCAATATATGTTTTTTACGTGGTTTTTCTTCAGAGCTTGCCTCACTCGTGCTGCACCCAGCATCTTTAGTAAAAATACCTTTTTCTAACACCTATATAGTCAAGGATTGTTTTTCCTAGGGAACAGGTAGTGGCCAGTCTGACAGTTGTTGTTGTTGTTGTTGTTAATTGCGAAGTCGTGTCCGACCCGTCGCGACCCCATGGACAATGTTCCTCCAGGTCTTCCTGTCCTCTACCATCTTCTGGAGTCCATTTAAATTCACACCTACTGCTTCAGTGACTCCATCCAGCCATCTCATTCTCTGTCGTCCCTTTCTTCTATTGTCCTCAATCTTTCCCAACAGTATTAACTTTTAAATAAAATTATTAAAAGATTTTAATATATTTTTCTAATATTAAATACATTTGGATATGGTAACATTTTATTAGATTTATAACTTGCCTTTATTTGTACAATTTAAGGCAATGTAATAATTCTCTTGTCTCCTATTTGCATGACTGCAAAGTAGGTTGCGATGAGAGAATGACTGGTCCAAAGTCAGCCAACCAGTTTTCATGCTTAAAGAACTACAACTCCTGGTTTCCCTGTTTCCAGGTTAGCAACTTAACCACCGAACTTTATTCAGAAAGTAATGACATTACAACAATGTCTTTAAGGGTCCATTTGAAAATGTGATTTTGCTCTTCACAGTTTCAGATTTTTTCATAGCTCTGAATGATAGGCAGAATATTATTTTGTTTTCTTCCAACTGCAACTGTTATCAATTTTGAAAGACAATTAAAGATTGCATAAAAATTAAATTACAACACTATTTTTATTTCCCATTTCACAGATACCTTCTGAGATCTGTCACTCCCCCTGCCCCATTCAATTTCTAAAATTGTGGTTAAACTCTGTTAAACAATTAAGCAAATAAAAAGCTGTAAAATTGCAAAACAAGAGAATCCCAGCATTTGCAGCCTTAGCAAGCCGAAAGACATTGAAAATAATAAAATAGAGATTATTCAATCCTGTGTTTTGTTTGTACATTTTGTTATTATTCTGTAATAAGATATTCTTTAGATAGATATTTATTCATTTCATTTTGTGGCCTCAAACAAAAACAAACCACAAATGCAAAATTTTAAATACTGGCTAAAAATAACATGTAAAATAATTAAAAATGAGAAGAGGATGTCATCCAGTTTCTGCAAGCCATAACTATTGCTAGAAATTTGGCAACCTTTGTAGTGGTTAGGTTTGGAAGAAAGGAAGATTGTTATTTTTTATTTAAAAGGTAGCTACAATTTCTGATAATTGGAATTAGGAATGCCAGATACTATAGATGATATAACAGAGAGAGTAACAATATACCGTAAATGCCGGCGTACAAGGCGACCTGGCGAATAAGACGACCCCCGTCTTTATAGCCGGGCCGCATTCCTAGAACATCGTCTTATACGCCGGAAACTACCAGTATTTCCGGCGTATAAGACAACTCGGCGTATAAGACGACCCCCGTCTTTGGTGCCGATTTCAGTGCTCGCGGAAGTCGCCTTATACGCCGGCATTTACGGTAGGTAGTCCTCAACTTAACAATTGAATCCACAAATGAATGGTTGCTAAGCAAGATAATAGTTAAGTGAGTTTTGCCCCATTTTATGACCTTTCTTGCCACAGTTGTTAAGTGAATCATTCCAGTTGTTAAGTTAGTTACATGGCTGTGAAGTGCATCTGGCTTCCCCATTGACTTTGCTTGTCAGAAGGTCATATGACTCTAGACATTGCAACCATCATAAATATGAGCCAGTTGACAACCATGTAAATTTTGATCACATGACCATAAGGATACTGCAATGGTCATAAGTGTGAAAAACAGTTCTTTAGTGACCGTTCAAAATTACAACAGCACTGAAAAAAGTGACTTATGACTGTTTTCACACAGTCATCTTACTTTTTTCAGTGTCACTGTAACTTTGAACATTCACTAAACAAACTGTTACTAAGTCGATATGGATTTCTGTTTCTGTATCTGAGGAGAAATACATGATTGATGAACAGTCCTAATATTTCCTGTTCATCTCCCATTGGTTATAAGCACCTGATTGTCCCTGATCAGCCAGGTTCAGATAGGTGTTAGTTTATAACTAACTAATAGTCTATAACAGTGGTGGCGAACCTATGGCACAGGTGCCAGAGGCGGCACTCAGAGTCCTCTCTGTGGGCACTCGTGCCGTCATCCCAGTCCTAGGTCTTCAGCTGGGTTTTATAAAACCTTTTCACTTTAGGCCTCCGCCGCCATGTACAAAAAAAAAAAAAAGGTTCAATCAATCAATCAATTTCAACTTCTCTCAGGGAAAAAAAAGATCTTGCAAAGTTGGAATTGATTGAGTGAACTTTTTAGTCCCACCCAGTCTGCTGCTACCACTGCAGCCACGCCCACCCAATGGGCCACGCCCACCCAGCACTCAATGATGCATAAGTGGGTTTTGAGTTGCAGTTTCGGCACTCAGTTTCTAAAAGGTTTGCCATCACTAGTCTATAACTAACCAATATGAGCTGTAGCATGTTGCAGATACTAAAAAAAACCAATGCAGTCTTAGGCTGCATTAACAGGGGGACAGTATCAAGATCGTATGAAGTGTTAACACTTTACAATGCCTTGGTAAGACCACTCTTGGAATACTGCATCCAGTTCTGGTCACCACAATGTAAAAAAGATGTTGAGACTCTAGAACAGGAGTAGGCAACCCAAAACACTCAAAGAGCCACTTGGATACATTTCCCACCGAAAACAAAACACTGGGAGCCACAAAACCCTTTTGATATCTAAAATGAAGATAACACTGAATATGTCCTTTTTTACCTTTAATGTGTGTGTGTGTGTGTGTGTGTGTGTGTAAAATAAAGGTAAAAAAGGATATGTGCAGTGTTATCTTCATTTTAGATGTCAAAAGGGTCTCTCCCTGTCTCTCTCTTTCCTCTCTCTTTCCTTTCTCTTTCCTCTCTCTCCTCCCTTCCTTTCACTCTTTCCTCTCACTCTCTCTCTTTCCTCTTTTTTCTTTCCTCTTTTTCTCTTTCCTCTCCCCCTCTCTTTCTCTCTTTCCTTTCTCTCTTTCCTCTCCCTCTCTTTCTCTCTCTCCCACTTTCCTCTCTTTCCCTCTTTCCTCTCTTTTTCTCTCCTTCCTCTCCCCCTCTTTTTCCTCTCTTTCTCTCTCTTTCTTTCTCGTTCCTCTTTCTCTCTTTCTTCTCTTTCTCTCTTGTCTTTCCTTTCCCTTTCCTCTTACTCTCTTTCTCTTTCCTCTTTCTCTCTTTCCTCTGTCTTTCTCTCTCTTTCCTCTCTTTCTCTTTCTCTCTTTCCTCTCTCTCTTTCTCTCTCTCTCTCCAGGTGAGAGGAAAGAGAACGAAAGTCAGACTCTGCTGAACTGGCAGGGAGGGGGAGTAGGATGGGAATCAGCGGCTCTGGTGGCAGTGGCGGCCACTGCAGCATCGTCGGGGATCCCCGCCGCCCCTGGCCCAGCCATCTCCCTGACCTGGCCGCCACCCCTGCCACGTTCTCAGGCAAACGGGCAGGGAGGGGAAGCAGGACGGGAGGCAGCGGCTCCGGTGGCAGCCACTGCAGCATCGTAGGAGGTCCCGCTGCCCCCGGCTGCCACCCCCACCGCATCCTCAACCACTTCGCTATCGCAAGAGGAGGGCACCAAGGCCAGGTGCACCATGGGTGGCCGCACCAGCAACAGGGAATGCCGCCGCAGGGACAGGGGGGGTCCTGACCCGCTGCCGGCCCCGCCGCCCTCGCAGCCCAAGGTC